TGGCTGTGCATCTTTGATCAATGTGATCAGAATTGCCGATCATATTTCGATCATAGTCTTTTTATTTTTAGCATGTCCTCTTGTAATAGTATTAGTGCATTTAGGGCCAAGTGCTGGGACCTCACATGCAGCCTAACCCCTCTGGTATTAGTCTGTTACTAGGCCATGCACTCTGCTTATTGTTACTCCAGTTTATCATTATGATAGCGAGGTTTCTGTGTGCTCTAGTCCTATTTTCTGTTACATGCTTACTGGCCTGGAATGCGGCCCATGTATTCGCAATTTTCACAATTTTACATGCCTGAACGAGGAGAGGGCGTGTCACCGCTGCTCCCTGACCCACTGGATAGGGGTCCGTCTGGACCGCCTTCTCTTTTGTCGGTGATGTTATCCCACCGGTCGACCTCATAGGGGTCATCCTTGGGATCCTCATTCCACTTGGTGCCTGGGGCCCACTTTCGCCCCCCAGCTGGCCACAGTTCCTGACTGCTTCCTTCAGTGACTGTTGATCGAGGATCAGTACTCTGATCCTGATCATCTCTGGGTTCGTCCCAGCAATCTGGGGCATAGGGGTCGTCTTCGGGATTTTCATCCCACTTGGTGCCCAGGGGCCATTCTCGGTGCTCCTGGGTTCTGGAGGCAGGGCCCTATTCTGTTGGTCGGCCAAGTCTGGCCAACTGTCGGTGCTCTTCATCGAGCTCATCTCCCCACTGCTTGCCATGCTCGACCTCCTCTTTTTCCACCAGTGTGTTGATGGATTCGGAGTTGGAGGTCGAGACTCGTGAGGAATCCGGGAGGGGTTCCTCCTCCTCTTGGCAAGGACCTGGTTGGCCCATGCCTTCAGACCCTTCTCTGGATCTGAGTTCGGTGTTTCGGGCCTCAGTAGAGAGGCCATTGATGAGTTGTTGGATGACATCATCCTTCTGTTGATAATCCCTGATTATCCTGATTGTTAAGGTTTCTAGAAGAACAGTCAGCAATTCAATGGAGGAAGAGGGGACTTCGGAGTTGATAGAGCTGGAGTTGAAAGACATATGATGTCTTTTGTTGATGGAAGAGAAGTTGATAAGAAGCGTTCAGTTCTTTTAGCCTTTAGGCTCAAAGAAGGAAAGCTAGAAGTCTCGAACTAATTGTTAAGCCCAAATTCCATATGACAATCAACACATGATAAACAGTTTGGTATCTCACACTTCAGGTATGTCCGACTGAGTTCACTGATGTGATGAGAGTGTTGTGAGGTCAAGGCATTGCAAGTAGCAGGAGCTCGAGATGAGATGGTGAAGTGAAACTTTAGTTCGAGACTGGGGTATTACAGCAAGAACTACGCTACTTAAATACTGTCATGCTATAAATAAACGTTCACAAAAGCTGTTGTTCTGCTGTGTGCTGTTTCCCCTGCTGTTGCTAGTCTCTCCACAAAAGCTATTGTCCTGCTGTGTGCTGTTACTGCTGTGCCGCAGTTGAAGGATAAAAGGGACATTGTCTCTCCCTTCACAGCACACAGCAACGCGGTATGACAAGGACTGACTGGGTTGCTGAGCTAAGCATTCCCATGGTCCTAAGTGCTGGCCTAAGTGCCCTGACTAAGCAAAGATAGGGGTCATTTCCAAGGAGAATCGAAGAAAAATAGGAAAAATTGTAACAAGTCCACTTGATGTGTTTGATGGTGCTGTGTTGTCAAGGCATTGCAAGTCACTCAAGATAAGATGGTGAAAGAATAAACTTTAGCTTGAAGCTGAGATTACTACAGTGAGAGCTACACTACTTAGATACTAATCATTGTCTGTTCTAAAGATATAACTATCTAATTGTTCATCCTGAAGCTGTAGAGTGCTTTGTCCAGTGTCACTAAGCTATCTACAAAAGAGTATTGTCTACTGTTGAGCTGTTACTGCTGCACAATGATAAAAGAGGTATTCTGCCATTGTGCTGCTGTGAGGCTTCACAGCAGCACAGTAGAATTGGGGTGGTGCTGCTGACTAAGCCTTCTCATGATCCTAAGTGCCAGATAGGTGCTCTGACTAAGCAGAAATAGAGGTCAATCCAAAATAAATCAAATAAAAAGAAAAGAAAATAGGAAAAATCATAACATTAAGCTAAGGTTTAATACCACCTACTATACTCTCTGACTACCTGATGTGAATACTCTTGCCACAACAGCAGACTATATCTACCAGCCACAACCCTTCACTTCTCTCTGTGAAATTCTTATAGCCTACCTCATCATCCTCATCATACTTTTATATCAAAACCAGACTCAAACTCAGAATCTAGAATTGGACCCTGACAAAAGCAGTGCTAGAGACTTGTGAGTGTTAGTGAAAGCCTAACAGGATGCTTCCACAATAAAGCACTGTTGGCAGAAAGCTGAGATCTTACCTGATACTCCTCTTGCTCCTGTTGTGTCAGTATCAATTTCCATCACTTCACTTGTTCAGAATTCTACTACAGACATGAAGGAGCAGCTGAAGGAATCTCTTGATGATCTCCAAGGCACAGGTGTATTGCAATGCCATAACTGCATGGATATTGAATCCTTACTGAATCCAGAGATAGAGAATGTGAATGTGGAAGAGACAACAGACAAAGATATCTTTGATACAGTGATAGCATCACAGAGTGCAGATGAGGGCATGGATGAGAATAGACTCAGAGGTGATATTGATGGTGATGATGGTAGTGATGATGATTTGGTGTTGGAACCTCATTCTAAGTGCCATGAGGCTCTTCAAGCTGTCAGAACTCTTCAAAAGTATATCAAGATCATGAATAATCCATTCACTCAGAACTTGAAAAGCATCTTGACTTTGTTCAGACAAAAAACAAGGCTTGATAAGGCTAATTCACTTCAGGATAGCCAGATTACAAGCTACTTCACTTTTAAATAGTAAGCATGTTATATTATAGGCCTACTAACAAAATATAAGCCTCTATGAGAGCCTTGAAGTTGATCTACAACATCCTCTCTCCAACCCCATAGTCTCTCATAATCCATAGCTCTGAGGGTCCACTGACCACTATGGGTTATTAGAGTTGACTGTAGCTACACACATGCTCTTATGTTGCCAGAGCCCATAGAAAGTAGTTTTATGTATGTATATGTATTACAGAATAAAAAGTGTCAGATGAAAGTGAATATTCTAGCTCAATTACCTCAGCCTCAAGCAAGACTGAACCACCAGACACATGCAAGTACAGCACAGAAAGAGTCACAGCCACACTTAGCACATGAATAGTGGTCCAGGCTATTGTGCCTCAATTTCCAGCATATTCTGAGGAGGTGTTATCTGCTGTTGGCATTAGTCTTCATATCAGATGAGTAGAGAGAGGAATAATATTGGAGTAAAAAGACAGAGGGAAAATCAGCAAATCAGAAACAATAATACTAATGAACTGACATGAATGTAATGTCTATATGACCCATACCAGCCCTTCCACTGGTGTTAAGATAGCTCAATTATCAGGGAGGCAAGCTACCTCAAATTTGGTGTTATGATCTTGAGCCTTGATGCTCAAGGGTGGAAGAATCAGATTTGCATGCTCATTGATCTCAGAGCTACATGGTATTGCATTGAAAATAAATATGAATCTGTAAAAGAGAAAGATAGCAAAAACAAGGTAGACAACAGTGACAGAAAGGAAAGAGACATGGCAAAGTGAAAATGAAAGTACAAGTCAGCCAGCCCAAGATATCAAGTCTATGAGCATGGCAACTCATACTACCACAGCATCATGATCCGGTTCTTGTTTCTTTGATTTGGGATTGATTTTATGACTTCTCCAAACTTTTGGTATTGTATGGAATTTCAATAAGTCTTATTCTCCTTTCAAAAACTTAGGTATGGGTATTATAGTCAAGATGTCCTAAATTTCTGGATTCCCTGTGTGGAGTCTTGGGACACACAACACTACGAGAAGCGCATAATAACGGCAAACCTGCCATGTCTGCCAAGGTAGGATTAGTTTACTTCATTCTCTGGGATTAGGCTATGATGTTCACTAATTGTCGCGTTAAATCTCAGTGGTCGTTCAGGTTGCAACTGGTGCCTGGAAGGTCGCTTCTCCCGAAATGGGTGCTCACCCCTAAGAGTAAAGAGAAGTTGGTATCGCATCGTCATGGCATACCATCAGCGACTGATTATGCCATCATAACGCAAACGACGCCCGGAATATGGGTGTGTGCCGATAATGCGAGAGAGTAAATTTCTGCCGCAAAACAATTGGCCCTCTCTCTTCCTTTGGTGTTCCTGGCGCGGTGGATATCAGCAAGAGAGAGTCGAGAGTTTGGCAACTGTGAAAAACACGGCAGATAAGGAGAAAGAATGAGAAAATGAGATAAAAGCGGCGGAACAAAAGGACCTTAGGGTTTATTTGCGCAAGAGGATCTCTTGCGGTGCGAGCCTTCAGAGACGTTCGCGTGCAGATGGAATGTTAGTCTTTTCATGATCGGTTCCAGTACGTCATTCTTGAAGTACTGAGATACGTATTGGGAAAATTATAGCTCGTTACAAAGAAACAGGGAAAGGGATGTTATCGGTCGAGCAACTCTAGCGCGTTCTGTTGCTATGAGGTGCACCGTGTCCAAGGACAGCCCGTCAACAACCTTGTCAGTCATGGTCTTCTCCCGACCCTGGTTCGTGTCGCGGAACTATGATATATCCAGGCTTCGACATCTACCCGCAGCTCAATAACAGCATCAAACGTTATTGGAGCGTACTCACACTCGTTTCATCAGACCCATTACAATTCACGGGGATGCGTAGTGGGGTCGAAGCGTGAATGGTCGGAGAAAGTGAACTAGCAGAAACACATAGCCATAACGAGCGTGAAAAGGTCTCGAGCAGTCGATGGTGGCGCCTTGAATAAAGATCTATCGTTTTTCGGCGTTCCCGTGAAATATTCAGCTCTGCCCTGAAATATGCGGATCATTGCTGTGATGATGGAACTTGACGACAAGGAGTGGTTTCTTCAGGCATTAGCAGGTTACAGGGATGGTCAAGCAAAGGCAGGGCCATCCTGAGAAAGTTAGCAGTGGTGATGAGAAAGTAATAAAAATAGGTAGGAGATTGGGTGCACTTGCAGTTGAAGTAATTCTGTCTTCTTTGACCGCAGCTGCTGCGATTGATCCCAGAAGACAAACACAGAAAACGAGCATATACACGTCCTAAATGAGAGATATTTTCATAGAAATGATACGGGTGGTGGGAGGAATCATTATTAGCACCAGAGATGCGGCACTGGAGCAGTATTATGCGTCGTTGGTAGTGACGATGGATATTGAGGCAAATATGCCGTGGTCGTAAGCTCAAAGGAAGAGTCGGGTAAATTGTTCCCATGTCTTACGCTGGTCCCCAATGTTAAAATTAGCACCTCAGTACAGTAAGATCATATATTTAGCTATCCTTTCCGAATCCATCAGACTCTATTCCATTCCGTGGCCCATCTCGCAAGAGGAATGGATATCCGATGAATTCATTCCGTCCCGAAAACTTAAAAGTAGCATTGTACTATTGGATAGAGCACTTCATCGCAGGATCAAAGAGCCTCAAGGAGCCGGGGAAAGGACAACATAAGGGGGCATCCCATTTCATTTAATCTCACCATACAAAGTAAGTAAGTATCTGATAGTGGCTGACCCATTGAACTTGAAAGGCCAATATCAGTGCGGAATAAATCAAAAGAGAACGTCAAGCATAAGTATAACACAGATAACCGCCTTCCGTATCCAGCACGTCAGCAACCTGAATTTATTGAATGAGAATCATCAACAAGAAAGAAATCCGTGACATACCGTCGCGTTAGGGAGGACGTCAAAAAGATATAACACCGTGTTTCGGTTCGTTTCCTAGCAGTACACCATTCAGCGAGAATTCTCTCCGAAAAACAGTATTCCATACAACGTAGCCCGTAGCAGGCTCTCTTTGTGTCTCATACCCAACATCCGTTAGGTCGTTAATCCGCGTCTCGTTACCGCCCTGCCACTTCCACCAAACCTACAAGATAAGGTTGGAATCAGTCCAGCCAGAGAGTGCAGCTACCGGACTGAACGCACGTAGTCCACGTATCCGTGATGCAGCCAGAATATTGGGTCATTAGGCGACGTCATGACGTTGGCCATCTACCATTGAGAGAAAAGAGTGAAAATCACTACCACGAAGAGGAAATGTACACACATCCCCTCCAACAGCTATATGCCCTGCCGTATGGATTCCGATGAACATCGTAGCCCGGAAATCCGATAGATTGGTCAGCGCAAGAAGTTCATCGACGTATGTCTGTCCTTCCAGGAGCGCGGATGTCTCATTCACTTCCCGTGTAAGGAAATGTTTCGTATTCGTCGTTCCAGGCCCAAGGTTGCGAGTCAGGTTAGCGAAAGGTCCATCAACGACGTCCCAGTCATTTGCCTCTAGGCCTTCCCCTCCAAAGTCTAACACGACTTTGGAGGTGCTGAATGAGCCGGCGTCGACGACCTCGTTCCAGTAAGGGATCTGAAGGCGGGAAAGAGGGATGAAAGTTGTCGGTGGGTTGTGTAGAAATGAGCTGGGCTTACTGTACCGGTATACCCGCATTCATTACGGAGAAGTGTCTCGTGGGCGTGCATGAAGTAACGATGAACCTATACTACAAATTTAGGCCATCTATTTTGGGGGAAGATGAGGATGTATATTCGTACATGTAAGAATCTGCGAGAGAGATCATGGAATTGGAACGTTAGGCCAAGTCTGTAATCATTAACACATAGGCACTGACTGTCCTGTTAAATGCCACAAATCATTGCCATCGTCAATGTCGCACTGCTGTGCATGGGCACCAACCTGTGTAAGGATCGATTACTATACCAGTATTTAAATAAGCATAAGAAGAAGGAAGACTGACCAAGTCGTCGTAGCGCGAAACGACACCTGATATGTCAGTTTGAGCAGGCGCTGCGAGGAGGCACAGTTCTGCCTCAAAATAGGCTCTTTTCTCATCTTCCGTTAAAGTTGTCCTATAAAAAGCGTTAGGTCCACAGGGTCTCCACAAAATAGGCGGTTACCATTCCACGCGAGTAGTTGGATCTGTGCAGCCCGACCGTCGAGTGGTACTTTGGGAGGGTATCGCCAATAATCCAGGTAACAGGACGACGGAGAAAAATAGCAAAAAGAGTCTGGAAAATGTAGCACACATATTATCTCACGAAGGAGATGATAAGCAAGTAACGGAGACATAGCCCTTTTATTAGACTCTGTACGGACCCAATACCGAAAGCGAGTACAAGGACGTCAGCCGGAAGATGCGATTCAGCAACTTCCTGAGTTCTCCGCAATCTTCACAAATAGTGCACGTAAACTTGCGATGAACGCGTTCATTTGGCTTTAAGTTAAAAGTAGATTGGGGGGCATTATTAGCTACCCATTCCGTCATTGCTTTACCATAATAAGAAGTCCGATAAGGCTTCCTCTTTGGATAGGCTCCAGCTAATGAGGTAAGTAAAGAAAATTCTTGAATACAGCCTTGATCATATCAGACGGTGGTGTCAAGATCAAGCCTTGGAAAGTCCTCACGATATGGGCCAGGAGACAGCACATTGAGGTGAAGGTAGTGTTCTGAGAAGTCAGATGCAAGGGGTCGGATGTCGGAAAGAAAGCTTTCGGCATCTCCACGGCTAAAGCTTGCCGCTCAAGCCGTTCGTATCTATGCCTGTTAATGTGGGCTCGGCGGAATTGCGGCTCTTTTTCGCCAGTACGCCTATTTTCTTCTTTCATCTTCTTTTCCCTAAATGTATGAAGGTCCAGATGCTCGGTCACCCTGTTTTTCTCCGCAGTTTTTATGCCTTCTAAAGAGGCCACTATCTGAATCATCTGTCACTTTCGAAGATCCGTATGAAGGTAACTCGTTCAATCGGAGTTGTTATCCATCTCAGACGTTCATGTCCGATTGCGGGCTATACCTATTACCGACTCTATCTCCCCATATTTTTCTACGATTGTCATCGGCTTTCAACGGGGGCGGCCATATATGATTTTCAGTTGGTCCTTTTGAAGAGAAAGATGTCTATGTTGGCCTGATGCTGCTCGATGGTCGTTTGGTGAGCCTGTGGCACTTATTGCAAGAGGTGCAATGTGTAGTCCTTACTTGGAAGAACTCTTACTACACTTGGTACTAATGCTTGTGCGGCAGTACTCTCTCTTCGTCATTGTTAGGTTCGCTATGGTCAACTGGATTGACACATTTCTTCCACCATCCTTAGCGCGGACAGAAGCGGTACCTCCGCAGGGTTTGTATGACGATTGGACCTCTGATTGCTCTACTCAAATGCACACGAATTCAAAAAATACTAACTGGCAACGATATATGTCCTTCCAGTTGGCCCCTCAATGCTCTGAGTCGTTGCCATCATGAGAAACAGCGAGAGAGTGAAGAGACCAATACCGATGAATATTGAACTAACGTTCCGACTGCGATCTATTCCTCGCATCAAATTATTTAAATAATCAGAACAAATATAAAATCAACTCAGCGGTGCGAATGTGGGGCCAAAAGTGGGGCCTGGGGTTCGGTTATTGGCACTTTACTAAACTAGCCATTTGGCTGTGCTTGGCCCGAAGGTCAATGTCTTGGGTACCACACTAAATGTCAACAACCGCCCAAATTCCAACCGCCACGCGTCGTCGAACTTATTCTTGGCGACTCGTGACAGGAGTCGGTCTGGTATCTTGTACCAACAGCCATCTATCTAGGCACGAACTGATGATCTTCATTCCATTTTTTGAGCTTGTCCAGTCCGGCCGCCTTGGGACTGGATGTCGGGATGTCTTATGAGTTATAAGGCAATCCGTTCGGATGTCTCTCTGTTAAAGATGCTCCTGTCTTGGTTGTTGATCGAGGGCTCTTGCACCATATAAAATGGCGGCCTAAAATATCCAGGCAATAGATACATGACCCACTTCCGATTTCATCATGGGCATCTCTCGATTTTTCAACGCCAGCTCTGACAGACTCAAACTCAGCAGTCGCACCAACACTAACTGCTCTGTCACCGTTCCCCCCACCAATCCAAATTTTTCCGATGTAGCTTCTTCGGCACATACGTTTGTGATTGAAGAATTGGTGTCCGAGATAGGGACATCGCAAACGGATGGTCTCTCTAAAAACGAGGCTCACAGACGGCTCGAGAGGTACGGAGAGAATTTGTTAAAGGGACGAACAGGTGTTTCTGCTTGGCGCGTCTTGGTACGCCAGCTTGGTACGATTTAGTTCTCTTATCAATGCGTAACATCCCCTTATCTGTATCATTTCAGCAAACGCCTTGACACTTGTGCTTCTAGCCGCACTTGCTCTAAGTTTTGGTGTCCAAGATTTCATCGAAGGTGCCGTTATAGCAGCCGTCATAGTATTAAATACGACGTGCGGTTCTGTTTCTGCTGTTACAGCGTCTGCCTGAACGAGCGAAATTTCAGGGTCGGGTTCTTCCAAGAGTATCGGGCGGAAAAGACCATGGAGTCACTCCGCCAGCTTTCCAGTCCCACGGCATTGGTCATCCGGAACGGTGAAAGTTTGCATGTTCCTGCCAAGACGGTCGTCCCAGGGGATGTGGTAATGATCAAGGATGGAGATGTGGTACCATCTGATGTATTTACCCCATTTTCGTTGCCGGCCTTTTCTTACTATTCCTTTTTTACAGCTCCGTCTGATCAGCACCTCCAATCTCGAGGTATCCGAGCAGCTCCTGACCGGAGAGTCAGTACCAGGTCGGTCTAAAAGCATACTGAGAAGTACTTTGTGCTAACCCTCGATTTAGTTGCTAAGGATGTCGAGGTCATTGATGATCCTCAGCTAGAAATGCCAATCGGTGATCGACTAAATTTATGCTATTCGTCTACCGTGGTCACGAAAGGTCGTGGTGTTGGGATAACCATTGGAACCGGTATGAATACCCAGGTACGGGCAGTTGTGCTCTCGAACATCCCGAAGTCTGATCATCGTAATTAGATTGGACGCATCGCTGAGGCGATGAACCAAAGCCCGTTAGGCAAGCAAGATGCTACTGCATGGTTTGGTTCTCGGATTTGGGACAACATTCTCCGCTTTCTGTAAGTCCCTTCCTTCTCTTCAGTGCCTCTCAGCTTGATGTTCTTCACAGTGACATTCGCGGCGGGACGCCTCTACAAATGAAGCTCTCCAAACTGGCTTTTACCCTATTTGGGTGTTCACTATTCTTGATTATCATCGTGTTCGGCGCTTCCAAGTTTAACATCAACAACGAAGTCATCTTATACGCTATCGCCACTGCGATTGCCATCATTCCCGAGTCTCTCGTCGCCGTTCTGACCCTCACTATGTCAGTTGGAACGAGAAAGATGGCTTCGGAGAACGTCATCGTGCGCAAGCTCGATGCCCTTGAGAATCTAGGCGGTGTTACCGATATTTGCAGCGACAAAACGGGGACCCTTACGTTAGGTGAGTTCATCCTTCGAATTCGAATCGTAGTCCGAAACTCATCATTCGTTGTAGGCCAAATGTCTGTGCGCACTTTCTGGTTAGGCGGGCATGAATCTGACTCTGTGACCTATTCCGCAGAGACAGGTCATAACGCCATCGAGCCTGTTGGTACTGTACGACAAGGCAATGTAATAGCGGAACCTGGGAAACTCGATGAAGGGTTCGCTCAAGCTGTTCGTGCTGCCGCCCTTTGCAACGTTTCCTCGTAAGCTTTCGAATATTCATGCATGATTTTCCCGCTAACGTTACAATGTAGCATCCATAAGAATTTGAAAGGCGAATGGAAGTCCACCGGTGACCCAACCGAAGTCGCTCTCCAGGTTTTTGCCACCAAGCTGGGCCTGGGCCAACCTTCATTGACTGCGGGAAGCAGTAAAAGTATCGACGAGCGGAGCGACTCTGAGCATGCCAAAAAGATTCATTTTGCTGACGAGGAGAACAAGCGGTTCGGGTTTTTAGTCGAATTCCCTTTTTCGAGCTCGATTAAACGAATGTCCACGATCTATTACGATACAGAGCAGAAAAGCGCGGTCGTGATGTGTAAAGGGGCGGTACGTGGACACATTTATGTCCACAATTTTTCTGACAGCCCTTTATTGTAGACTGAGAGGATCTTAGATTCCTGTGTTGCTTACGTTCCCTCCCCTCTCACCAAACCGAGAGATACTTCGCCGTTGACTGAAGATACCAAACGCGCGTTTCTTGACAAGGCAGAGGAGCTCGCGTCTGAGGGTCTTCGTGTGATTGCTACTGCCCAACGAATGATAGACCGCAAAGATGTTTCCCGTGAAGACGCAGAGAAGGATCTGACGTTCATGGCTCTTGCTGGTATCTTTGACCCGCCAAGGCCAGAATCTGCGGGAGCGGTCAGGGCGTGCAGGACTGCGGGGATTGTTGTTCATATGTGAGCTGCGCTGAGTGTTCAGTGAGTGGTACTGATGTTGTTGATGCTTAGGTTGACAGGCGACCATATTACGACTGCCAAGGCCATTGCGGAATCTGTCGAGATTATAATGCCGGACGCACCCAAGAATGCTGTTATGATGGTTAGTTTGATTGCGTTCGTTTTTGTTTTTCTACGCATTCTAATGCTGGGTTTAGGCTACGGAGTTTGATAGGCTCACGGATGACGAGATTGATGCTCTTCCTGAACTTCCGTTGGTGATTGCGCGATGTGCACCAGAGACTAAAGGTATGTGTTTGGTATGGCTTGTTGTCAGCCAAGTGCTGAATATCTTCGTAGTTCGTATGATCCAAGTGGGGAAGAGGAGGGGAAAGCATATGTCTATGACCGGTGATGGTGTCAATGACTCCCCGGCGTTGAAGCTCGCTCCTGTTGGCATTGCGATGGGTATGTCTGGTTCTGATGTCGCTAAAGATGCAGCAGATCTTGTTCTGACTGACGAGTAAGTCGATTCATAGATATGTTGCGGCTTCCATATTGATTATCTTCCCTAAAGCAATTTTGATTCGATTCGCGCTGCTATTACGGAAGGACGGAGGATCTTCACCAACATCCAGCGTTTCGTTCTTCACCTGCTAACTACCAACGTTGCCGAGGTTGTTCTTCTCATCGTAGGGCTCAGTTTTATCGATGAAGATGGGCGGAGCGTTTTTCCGCTCAGCCCGCTTGCTGTGCTTTGGGTGAATATGGTAGGTCTTTTTGGATTGTTGGGGTCATGGCTCTGATGTTGGTGTGATTTAGTTGACTAGTTCTCCACCTGCGTTTGGTCTTGGTTTGGAGGCTGCTTACCCTGATTTGATGCAGCGGCCTCCTCATTCTGTCAAGCAGGGTATTTTTACGTGGCCTATCATTATTGATACCATGGTTTATGGGGTGATCATGGGCGCGACTTGCTTGATTAACGTATGTTATCTATTTTATTTCCTTAATTTCGAGATGCTGACGTTTTTCTACGTGTTCAGTTCGTGATCGTGGTCTATGGAAAGGGAAATGGTGATTTGTACAGAGAGTGTAACCACGCGCCATCTGAACGGTGTAATCTCGTATTCCGGGCACGATCGACGGTCTTTGCGACTTTGATTTTCCAGATACTGCTTTATGCTCTCGAATTGAAGTCCTGTGAGTGTCTCCCTGCATGCATAATTTTGTTCGCCAGACTGATTTTACATCAAGTCGACCGTTCCCTATTCTCTTTGACGCCCGGAAGAGCGTTTCATAAAGACCTTTGGGCAAACAAGGTGCTCTTGATTTCTGTCGTTGGTGGAATGATTACTGTTGTTTTGCGTGAGTGACATGTTCCGCTTAATTTTGAGTCGATGTATTGATGGCATGAACAGCTATCTATATACCTGGATTTAACACTTCGGTATTTTACCAGCGGGATATATGCTGGGAATGGGGGATTGTATTCGGCATGACTATCCTTTTCGTCATTGGGTGCGAGCTATGGAAGATAGCGAGGAGACGTTTGTTGAAGTGTTGGCTGTATATCGCTCCGGCGGACAGTGTAGAGGGATACACTGGCGGTACGAAGGATAGCTGCTAACTCTTCCGCTATACGTCTCAGCAGATAATTCTCTCGGTTTGGATTACCCCTTATTTCTGACGGCGGGCCATGGACTACGGTGGCTTGTCAGTCAATTAGCCGCCCGACGGGCTGTTATTAGATGCGCGAGAAATTACATAGGCCTAGAGAAACTTGCTAGATGTGCTATAAAGTTTTATCTGATATTCAGAACCAACTGTGAATACTGTACGTGAATGTAGGGAAGAAAGCTCCAAGTGAGCGTTACGGTCAGGAAGGAAAGAAACTCGGAAACGGATCCGGAGTTCCGCGTTAGGGTTTCTGATATAAGTAACGAAAGTAGGTGGCATCGAACTTGTATGGTAAATTTGTGAACTTTGTTAAGCAGTAACGAAAACAAAGCTATCGTTATGCGTTATGCATAGCAACGAACGGGTGCAGCGTTACGCGTTACGATTTCTACGTACAGTATATGAACCCTTCCTCGACCTTGCATTATTTGAAAATTATTTGGTAATTATGGACCACCACATTCTGCAAAAGGAAAACCTATTGTTCGTTCTTCTTGGACTCGAACCACCACCATCTCACTTTCAGGTTCCTTCGTCCCCTTCCTGCAGCCTTTTCTCTCCCTTGTACCTTGGAAATTGCCGAACCGGCACGTGGCTCTGCAAGAATCAAAGTGCCGCCCAAACGAAAGAGTGACGCTGAGTCTGGTTTTGAATCCGAGGAATCGCAATCCAAAGACCAGAATAACAGTGAAAGCGAGTATGAAGGAGGTTCGCAAGGTATGTTGTGAAATTTCCTTCCTCCTGAGACCGCTCTCTGAGAGATGAATGTTGTAGGATCGAAGCCCAGCCCGGCAAAACGAATACGACGAGACAAGGCAAAGGCATGAATGATCGACGACCCTTCGAGGTGAGGTGACACAGCCACCGCATGGCCGTACCGCGTGGGAAATATTACGTCATGGCCAAGACCCCTTCCTCCCACCACTACGCGTCTACCGACGATACGATTATCTGTCATTTCCAAAAGTTGGGAGGGCAAAAAGTCAAGGGATAATTTAATTCCAGCTTCAAATCTTCCACATCTCGCCTCATTTCGATACAGCTCTCTATAAGCTTCTGAAATCTCTCTGATTCACAAAAAAGGGGACTGATCGCGATAGCGAGGTACGATTCTTTTTCTCGGGTTGTTTTCTTGTTCAAGAAATTTGTCGCAGAAAATTCATATATGTCTTTACTCAAGCGCAATGCTAATGGCGACTATGAAGACTGGCGAGTTTACACCCCCGTAACGAACCCGACTGTAACCAGTTCGCCCGATTCTGCTCGTCTAGCAAACCGGAAAAGAAAATTCAAATGTGAGGACGACAGTCGATATATCTGTGCCCGCGTCGCCAATAAGCGCACTGGCTCGCCCACGTCCAGTCCGACATCGCTCGTACCATCGCCTCGTCCTATAAAACGGGCTCGAAAAGTCAAGCCCGCGGATAATGATTGGTTTATCGGTTCCGAAAGCAGTACTCTGACGGCCTCCCAAATTTCTTCAGCAGCCTTGCAAGTAATCAATCCAGTTACCACCGCCAACTCCTCTGCAGCTCGCGACACAAAGCCGGATGATCCTTCCACAGTCGACCAGTGGTTCTCCGATCCAACCCACGGCTATTCCATTCCTATATCATCGACGTCTCAGGCCGAGGCACCTCCAAAGGCCCCAGCAAAGCCAAAGACCCCTCGTCAACCAAAACCCAAACTCGAGAAGCGCGGCGCCATCTTCAAAAAGAAATGTCCTCAAAACATTCTCGAGAGACTGGATAGGGTTATCGAACAAAGGTGGGAGCATTGTCCTTCAGCCTGGATCGTTGCTCATTTCGGGTCAGGTTCTTCATGATTGATAGGGAACACAATGGTGATGAGTTGAAGGAGACCTTCAAGGTATTGGGCTCTACAGGGAATGTACGCGGTCTGTATGGTGTTTCATTGATCACGTCGCTAATGAAGATTAGGTTTATACTGTTGTCATCGACCGGACACCCCGTTGTGATTGTATGTGTTGTCGATTCGCCTAATCAAAATTTACGATTTTCTCAGGCCCCGATGCTTCGAAGGGCAACCATTGCAAGCATATCGTACGTGCCCGCTTGTTATTTTTCGGCTTTTGTTCTGAACGTTAGTCTTAGATCTTCATATTTATAAAAGGTACATACCCTTCTCTTCCCATCGACTGACATCGTCTCACTGCACTCTAGTCCTCCAGGTTCCCCATGAATCACCATACTGGTACCAAAAGTACTACGCGCCTGTCACTCATTCTATGCTGTGCCCGCTGATCTTCCTTGCCCAGAGCCCTTCTGACGACCGAACTCCAAGATGTTTTCGCACGCGCGCCAAACGCCATTGCGAACGAACGACTTCGCCAAGCTCATTTACGAGCTACTGGGAAAGCGCCTGCCTCTGACTCCAATAATGCCAGCAATAAGCGCATGCCAACAGAGGAAGATGACTGTCCGATCTGCTACGACAAGATGCACACCGAGCCAGAAAACAAGCTTACGTGGTGCGAGGTTTGCGGAAATGCGCTACATGGGGTTTGTTTTGCTCAATGTAAGCTGTGTACTATCTCTCCTATCCTTTGTCCCTTGTGCTCATACCCTTCAAAGGGCGAACGACCGCTCAGAAGTCAGGGAAGAAGGTTACTTGTGTCTGGTGTCGGGCGGAGTGGGTTCTGCCGGATGCGGGAAAGGGCAAGGGTAAGGCTATCGGAGACGAGGGGTATGTCAACTTGGCGGCGGTAGCAGGGGTTAGTACGCAGAGGGATACTTCGTCCTGTAAGTCGTTATAGCTGCCTCCTTGACTTGCTTGGCGACTAACCTATACGTTAGATTACCATGGAGTGAGGAGAGGAAGCAGATATTATGGATATCAGAAGCATGGGATGCGGTGATATCTTTGTGATCTATAATAGTTAATCTATGATGCGTGCCTTATCATCTTGATTCCTGAGGACAGATCTGGGTGCATTGTGGTCCTTGTGGCAGACTTTCGACCTAGCGGTCTTCGAAGTGAGGCGATTAAGCGCCTCTTATGTGATGTGACTAGATCAACCTCGCCATTAAAGGTCATCTATCTGCAGCTTTACAGCATTGCTGTAGTGACTTTTCTCGTCTTGTTTAATAACCGCAACCTGACGTGCATATATAATGTCTTCATTTTGTGACAGAGGACCGAAGGTACCAAAGAAAGCCTAGTCAAACCCCTTCAACTTCAAGACTACTCGTCTGTGGCTCACGAGGGGAGGTAAACCGTTATCCCCGGCTTCCAACAACACATGCACCAGCCCCCATTCTGTCAGGCGCGCCACGTCGACCAGTGCGCATTACTCTGCACCGGGAAGAGTGGCAAGGGAAACCTGAGGAAGATCTAAGAAAGTGACGCGCGTTCGTAGCACCTAATAGAGTACACTGTTAGCTATAATGTAGACCTCACACAGCGTAGCGATAAGCAGAAACGCGGTGAGGGTGCTCGACAGACCGTATTCAATATATATATAGTCCATCCCGACATAAAGGGGTATCGAGCTCGGCCGGCGGGATACGACGGAGCTCCTGCTTGCTAATCCAACAGAAGATGACAGCGAAGACGAATCTGAAGGCTCTGAACAGGGTAAGGAGCCAGTTGTATTGAAATCGTGTCTAACAGTATGTGCCAGAACCTAAGCGTAGTCCAGAGAAAAGAAGGCGAAGAAAGTCGGGGACGGTGAAGCATTCAAAAAAATCTCGAGAGAAAGGAAAGACGCAGCAGAAGAGACGGCGCCGACATGACTTGAGTCTTTTACTAACGATGCCTCTGGATATCTTATTCACTGCACGTTCCTCTATATATCTGCCCTGCGAAATGCTATTAAATAACCAGGATTTCAACGGATCTTCAGCATGTTGACTTCTCGAGAGCTCATCAATTTATCACGAGTTGATGCTAATTTCTATCGCACTCTGACTGCAAATAATGTTTCATTCGTTTGGAAGGCTGTTAGAGAGGCTGAAGGAGGAATCGAACTTCCGCGAGATATCCCTGAGTATCGATGGGTTGACCTCCTGTTCGAGGTATCAGTTTGTGATGCAAGTACGGTAGAATGGCTTTATGCTTTCCCTGATTTGTGACCCGGAGTAGATGTGCGACGCAAGATGTGTTTTCACCGACTGGATGCTTCGCCGGCGCGTCTTCCAGCGGCGTTTGACGTCCAAGTCTGTTTTATCCTCTTTGTCGACTCGAAATGCTGACTCGAGTCTATCTCAGCTTGGTTTACAGGCATAGGGTAAAAAAATAATTGTTCCGGGGTGCAGACGCTACTGTCCTAAGTCTCATTCCTCACACATACAGTATGTTTTACCAATTGCACCTATATGATGTTTTGATTAATGTATTAAGATGGAATCACAACCCACAGTGTCCACAGTCATTATTACTGGATTCCTGATGTCAACGAGATAATGGGCAAACTAGATGATTTAAAATCCAATACCAACCCTGGTGCTCCCAAGCACATAGTGTTGAGAGCAGGTTATTTAGCGCAGCGGTGAGTGCCAGGACTGGAGACGAAGGTCAAGAGCTGAAGAGCTGACCTTCGATCCCCAGCGTGCTAAGCTACGATTACATAATGTACATAGACTAGCTGAAGGTCGTTTCTCAACACAGTCCTTTTTTTCAAGAAGCGAAAACGTTTTGTGAAGAACATGCTGAAAGTAGGCACTATCTCTACAATAGTCTGTTATGCTAACTGTTAGAGTAGCATGCCAAGAGGTGTTCAGATTGAGAGACACAGTGTCGAATTGCCAAGGCAAGAGAGTCGCAGCGATTGATAAAGGAGCAATATGAAGACAAGGGTGCTCGCCAAATTCAATTTTGTACATGGGGTCGAAATTTTATTATCAAGCATCGAAGGGGTACCCATCCAACCACGTGACAGACAATGACACAATATATGACATCAATTTCATGACTAAGCCATCTTTCCGGCAGTTTCGTTGCAACCTCCCCTTCACATCGCGACCTCAATGCCTCTGAACTCGGCAGGTGTCGCACACCCAATTCTTGGGCACTCGACTCCTACCCAAACAGAATAGATGGAACTTAATCACAGTCAGTCCCTGTACAAGGAATAATAGGGAATCTCATTAAAAATTTTTCAGGCCTTCCAAGGCGAACCCACCACCCTACAAGCTGTGCCGGGCCGACATTCCCGAGCACCCTTGTATGAAGAGCGAGTCATCTTTATTTCTCCATCTCGAAGCAATCTCACCGTCAATCATAGCATCGAGGCTCGCCTTCTTAAACTAGGGTACACCAAGGACGGCATCCGCGGTATCGAATGGTGCAACTCGGTACATAATGAAGCAACACTTACGTTTTCTAGTAAGACTTTCCCATCCCTCCGTAAATTAATCTTCATGAGGAAAATCACCAGATTGGAAAAAGATACTTCCTGGTCTTGAGGCTGCGATAGCAGAACACTGGGACGAAGTCGCACAGACTGAGCACAGTCTCATGTAGGCATCTTAAAGGCGTTCCTACCAGCGTGGCTTTGACCCTGCTGTTTGGAGACGAGTGCTGCCGTACCAGGACGTCTGCAAATTTGCTGCATTCAAATCCTTGTTTCACAGGCCGAGAGAGGAACAGATCACACAATCGAGTTTTTCCGACGCGATGGCACAGCTGCCGAACCTTATTTCAGTATGGCTTCAGGATAGAGCAACCCATGCGCGAAATCTAGCCGCTGCGGAGCTAGGTTCACAAATTAATCCTGCTGTCGACCCGACGAGTTTGGCCATATGTGTTTTCGGATGTTCCAACGGATGCTATTCTTGTACCTATTCCGATCTCTGGCGACATCACTGCGTGCGCCGTTATCGTTTTTACGGGGAATTCATCTTCCCGGATGTTGACACGTTGTACGAAGGCAACGGTGATATCACGTTCGACTCTAAGCGGTCTGCTATGGTTTCCTATCTGGTAACCATGGTGTCTCGCGATCCTACCACCACTACTGTAGAGAATATGGATTCTTGGGGACGTTTTCGTTTGCTTGAATAGATCCATTAGTAGGTTTAGAGCCCGTGGCGGAGGCGCTCACGCTGTATTTGGGTGTCCTTTACTGACATGGCGCCAATGTGTGAGTGTATCAGCTTCATTTTGTCAATAGTCATGACTCTGTTTCTGTCTAGGTCTACATCCATTTACGTGACGGTCCTGAATGCAAGATTAGGCCACTCACTACGGAAGAGCAGTCAAAGCGACAGGAAGTAGAGCCCGAGCAAGATATTGACCTACGTGACTGATCCTGTCAGCGGTGCTCCGAATATCTGAGATGTTGGTCAACCCACAAAAATGTAGTTGAGCATGTTGGAAACGTGTAAGTAGCGGTCCATGTCTGTTCAGATAGTCGGTTAACTATTTATCTTCCAGTCATGGTGTGGATGAGCCTGTGATCGAGCGAGACTTGTTTGTTGCATATTCCAATGGGCTCAGCGGAAGTTGGCGTCCTTCACAACATACAGTCTTACATGTGTTAAGAGTTTGAGAAGCCTACGAGTTATTATGTTTGATGTGATGTTACCCTTCTGCTTCGGGTATACCTGATCTTTTTACTGTTGAGATTTGGACTGTATCCAGAGTACATGCTTGTAAGACATTTTTGGGTTACAAACTCCTGAGGTTTCCCCATTGACTTCTCATATTCATACTAGACTACTCCTTTGCTGGTAGTTTCTACCTAATTCCTTCAATTTCTCTCGGATTCTTTCCTTACTCAGCATGCCGGAATGCCGGATTGCTCGAATTCTCTCACAGATTCCAACATTTACAATGCAGACAAAGTATACTTAATCCTGTGGGGTTGCAACATTCACCATCGGCAAAGTCGCTCAGACTATGTAACAATGCAGCATCTTTCAAGTTACAGATAAACGTATGATTCCGGAAGGACTTTTCCAGTTGGCCACGGATACGACGACGCGATCCTGTTACTAATTGGGCCTTCGGTTCATCCGCCCCGGCCTTTTTGGAAACTTTTTGACATAGAAAGGCGTTGGTGTTTGTCTGTTGGTCCCACGATTTCCCTCACTAAGGCTGGCGGCGGATGTGCTGACGGAATGGCAGTTACTAATCGGAGGCTTCCATCCAACCGAGTGCGAGTGCGAATCCGAGTACTAGGTCCGAGTTGCCGCAATGCTCAGATGTTTCGACCCGTCCCATGACTTACTCTCACCGCAACATGACACCCTACCAGATAACAGCTACGGACGTCTGTTTGTTTCTTGTCGCTGTTTTTCTTATCTACAAGATCTCAACAAATCGTAAGAGCAACATTACCACCAAACTGCGAGGTCCTCCGAGTCGAAGCTGGCTTTACGGTCTCGCTGGCGTTATCCATGATGCCGAGAACCCAGGCGTCTTGTTTGAACAATGGTCATCGGAGTACGGTTCTGTCTACAGTGTCTCCGGATTCCTGGGACAGCAAAAACTGGTTCTTTGCGACCCGAAGGCTGTGGCACATTTCTATGGAAGAGAGGGTTTTGGATACGTCAAGCCACCCATGATTCGCTTTTTCATCGAAATAATGGTGTGTCCTTTTTTGCTCTAGTAAGCATGAGCAGATTTTTCTGAAGTATCTTGGTTCTCAGTTCGGAAGAAATTTGGCTTGGGCGGAGGGGGAATTTCATCGAAGGTAATTGCTCTCTCGTACGTCACACGACCTTTTGGTAACCAGAAAACATACAGGCAGCGCAAATTTCTTACACCAGCGTTCAATAACTCAGCTATACGTGATCTGAGCCATATTTTCTATGACTCGGCGCACAGGGTACATAAAGGAGTCTTGAGTTTATCGGATATTTCTTAAATTTCACCTAGACGTCGTCCGCTTGGGACGCTATTCTGGAAGCAAGCGACGGGTCCTCCACGATCGATGTGCAAAACTGGTATGTCACGCCCGGCGATAATAATGATTGATTGATCATGTCCATGTCCTAGGATGAACCGCATCTCGTGAGGCTATCATTCAACTACATACCGCTCAGTAGCCAATTCAATTGCCCACCTAGGATGGATAGCATTGGTATAGCAGGTTTCTCTCACGACTTTGGCGCCATCAACGGGAAACCTCAGGTTTTCGACGCCGTGGACTTGAGCGCCGGCGCTACCTTTTTTGCTTTCACGGTCATGGTGGCAACTGTGTTTCCTGTAATTCTTCGGCTGCCTTCCAAGAGGAAAGGGGGTCTAGCCGAGATGAAGCGTGTATTCTCTAGTATAGCTGACCAGCTCCTGTCTAAGGCCAAGGAACATAAGAACGAGGAGGATAAATCTGTAATGGGTCTGCTGCGTGAGTTTGACTACTACTGGTTCCGATAGGAAGGTGATTGTGTTTGTATACAGTCAAGTCGGAGACAGATGATGCCAACATTCACATGTCTCGAGAGGAAATCATAGCACAGGTATGCGTTGCCAGTCGCACATTTGGCCCTTTGCTAATGATTGCCTATTGCAGATGGTACTTCAGAAATTCTTGGTCTTGCATTTATTGCTCACAATTTCTGAATGTTAGAATTTGTTGTTACTAGCGGGTGAGCATCACAGGCAGGTTCCTTGATTTTGAAAGCTAAGCATTTCAGGTTATGAAACGACAAGTAGTAAGTCTATTCTCTGTAAAACCGCATTTTCTCCATTGTTGAAGTCCTCTCGTCCAGTTAGTCTCACGGTACATTAGCTCTTACTGACCGTCCATCAGATGGAACTGACAGATCCTGCAGTGGGCCCTCATCGAACTGTGCAGGAACGTTGACATCCAAAATAAGCTCCGCAAAGAGGCAGTGCAATACGGCAACTCTGATCCGACGTGGGAGCACGTCAACTCGAGCCTTCCATACCTCGACGCGATCGTACATGAAACTCTACGAATGCACCCACCCGTGTTCGAGACTACGAGGATGGTGCGTATCCTATCCTCCGGCGTACTGAGTGCCCCTCACTTCTCTCCTTTACGTAGGCAACTGAAGACGATATCCTTCCTCTGTCTACGCCTGTGATGACCAAGTCCGGCGAGACTGTTAACAGTCTCTTCATTGCCAAGGGAACGGTCATCACTACCCCCATTGGGACGCTGAACAGATCAGAGCAGTTCTGGGGCCCTGATGCGAAGGAATTCAAACCGGAGAGATGGTTGGAGGACAGTGCACCAAGAGCGAAGGAGATCCAGGGTCATCGACACCTTTTGACTTTCATAGATGGACCTAGGACATGTCTCGGGAAGACGTTCGCATTGACTGAATTTAAGGTAAGTCGATTTCTTGAGGAAGAATGCACTTTTTGTTGAGCATCTGTCTCTTTAGGCTGTGCTCTTTGTCATTGTACGGAACTTTGCTTTCGAATTCCCTGGTGGAAGTGATACTGTTATTGGAAAGTATAGGGGGAGTATTTTGCCTAGACCGAAAGTCATCGGGGAGGAAGGCTCGCAAGTTCCGTTGAGGGTGAGGCGAGTATGACCCCATTCTCATAAGGACAGAAACTCTAATATAATCTATGCAATGATATATACACCGATGCGAAACAGTCTGGGACCCTGAACTGAACCAAAGTGGCAATTACCGAGGTTTACCCTGCTCCTGAAAGTTCACCTTTGAACATCTCTCAGGCTCCAAATGCACAGAAACAAAGTTCTTCGGAATTCTCCTTCGAGCAAAATAGAATATTTACTTATAACTGCTTAACCTTTTTTTCCCTAAATGCTTATTCCTGTCAATAAATTCTGGTTTGACCCCTGTTTCTTTCTGATTATTCATATGGTGGTTGTTCAAGTAGATTTGAGGAATTACTGTGATGCAATTCCAGCCCTCATGACTTTGAGTCTTTGGGAAGTCTTAGTCTGAAGGAAGGACATTGCTCAACTATTACTGGAAAAGGTTGCCACAACTTGAATCCTCTTGGTATATCTTGAGGCAGAGAAAGAAAGAACTCTGTCAAGGGTGTTGGATATACAAGTGTTGCTACATCTGCTGCTGAGAGGTATTCTAGTGACACACTCACTGCATGTCCAGGCATGTAATTTTGCAAATTATGACAATACATTGACTGTATCACAGTCTACTATGCATGCAATAAAGAATATGGCTAGAGCACAGTGAAATGGGACTTATATGACAGCTGGCTTGAGCAATGATGGGTGAAGAGCATGGCCTAGCAGCAGGATGATACCAGAGAGTCATACTACACATGAGAGCACAAACTTGACACTAATTGCACTAATACAAGTATAGAAAGACCCACTAAAAATAAAGAGCACATGATCAAAATATGATCAGGGCTTTGCACACAACTTTGCATCACATTGGTCAATGATGCATGGGTATTAAATTGCTGAGGGACATGTTCTAGAACAGAGCATTGGTGCACAATGAGATAAACCTGAATATCAGAGAGATTGGCTGAGAAATAAGAAGGTTTGGTGAAAGAAATGACCAGAAATAATCCCAGGAGTCTAGAATGACTTCTGTGCATAGATTAATTGCTCTGGGGAGATAAGAAAGCAAAGAGATCAGTGGCCAGGCCACTAACAGAGATAACCAGTATCAGGTTGCATAGAAACAAAAGACAGTCCTGACCCAGAGCAGAATATGCAAGTCAGACTGTGATATGTGTGTGAATGATATGCCAGAGACTCCAAAATGGAGTCTCATGCTTTGAAACTTCTATATTTGATGTGTCTTTGTAAGTACAGTAGTAGACTATTTAAGTACCACATTGTAAGAGTAGTAGACAAGTTTCTGACCTCTTACAGTTGCAGTGTATTGGGCATGAAGGCCTAGCACTCCAGCTCTCAGTTTGTGTTTGTAACTTTGGGTGAGAGAATAGACCCATTATTGATATCATTGAGAGAGATTTGAGAACTGCACAAAGCACAGAAGCTTGCAAGGGACTTAAATTCAAATTGATAAGAGGTTTTGAATTGCACTCTAGTCAGAGAATAAGAGAGCAGTGTCTGAAGGGCACTATCTTGAGTTTTTGAGGTATTTGTGACACACAGCACTACAGGTGGCAGAGGTTCAAACCCTTTGGGTCTGTTGAATGGTATTTTATTGCATTTTGTGTCTCTGGGTCACATAGGTTTGAATCCTGTGGATTTATGATCAGTTTGAAAACTCATGTGCAGAGGTTTGACCTCTTTGGCACTTGTGAACATGTTTGTAAAGTGTTTCTGCTTAGCATGAAACTTTGAGTTGTGTAGTGTGTGTTTAGAGATTTGGAATTGATCTGAGCTGCACTCAGAACCTTTTTGAGAGTTTTGTGGGAGTGTTTCAATGTATTGTATTGAGCTACAGTACTCTTTGCCTTGAGACCCAGCAACATTCATTGCCACCTCTTGTTTTGATAAAATGAAAAGCTTTGAGACTTAGAGAGATCTGAGACAGTTATACACATGCTATTGCTATTTGTGCACAGTGGAATCATTTGAGAAGACAATTATATTTGTTGTTACTATTTTATCACATTATAATCCCCCCAATGAACTAAGAAGTGTTGTGTGTATGTTGGTGTGGTTGTGATCAGTGGATAGCACTCTGCTGTATCCATTTCCATCTTATGCACACACAAAACCTCTTCACTGAATGATATCCTCTGTGAAATACTAGTTGTTGTTCATGAAACTTCCATCTTTCAGTATCACACCACATTTATGGTGACAACCTTCTCTATTCCATAACTGGGATGGACACTAAGATAGAAGGGACAAATCACTGAAAGAAAAAAAGCTGCCTTGTATTGTTGTCACAGTATTCATTAGTCAGACTATCATTTATTCATACATGATTTTTCATTTATGACTATCATCTCAGACTTTTCTTTCCCACAGTTGAACCATATGGGAATTGAATCTCAAGTGACATCTCCAACTGTGTACATCCATATCTGATTCCAATTTTTTTTGGTAGTATATAGAACTAGAGCTACACCTGAATATTCATTAATATTCCTGGTCCAACAGAGTGTATAGGATTCAAACCTGGAGTGAACTTGCTAAGTAATTAATCCATTGGACAGGGAAGAATGAGTCTCAGGAGAATCAGGTTGGACTACTAGACACATGAGATGAGTGAGCACTGGAGGAAAAATAGAATACACAATAGAAAGAAAAAGCAACCTGGATCTATTGTTGAAAGGAAACATTCAGGAATTGAACTCATGGCAAGAGAAGTTGCATGCCATTACACCATGTCAGACCCTGAGTAATGATCAGCATGAAATTTACCACCAACAGGTCTCTTCATCCCATTTTCTTATTCTGAGATTAAGAATGACAGCTATTAAAATAAAGAATCTCTGATCCTACAGTAAAAAGAATGTCTCAATGGCATAAGACACACAGTTGAGAGGAATCAAACCTCTGGTCAGTGTGACAAGAGCTACTACACCAGATCTGGTGTAGCTGGTAAACCATACAGCTTATTTTTTGCCTCTGTTTCCATTTCACTGCTGTTTTCCTCCAATGCTGGTGTCTGAACTTTTATTATTATTATTTTGGTGGAGACTATAGCGAAGGCAGTCCAGCGACACAGTTGCTTCCAATGGGCAGCTATGGCAGTTGCCAGGAATTAAAACCAGGCAGACATAGTTAGTATACCAATTGAGAATTTGATGAAGATTCACAATGAGAAAATGCATTATGCACTTATGAGTGTGGGACTCATGACTAGTAAGTATTATGTTTGTCATCAGTGGAGGACCGTGGCTTTGACTTTACCATGCTTATGGTCAGACAAATACCTTTCGTTCGTGCCCCAGAATCCCTACCGTCAGCGCCTGTGAGAACGGTCATGGATGCTAGGGGTCGTCCTCAACAGACCTCGCAGTCAGAATTTGTCTATGGCAACCTGGAGCAATGATGACCTATCTAGTGATTCATTGTGGCTGATGCTGATACGTACGGCACCCCGATAGAAAAGAGCCCAGCTGGAGACGTTTCAGTCACTCTCTAGCTGCAGGGCCTTCTTCAGTAGGCCGGTACACTTAGATTTATACAGCGACCCTCCAGAAGATGCCAACTTCAAAACCTTTGATGCCTTCTCCAGCGTCGCCCGCTTTATGATGCTGGAGTTGAAGACGCAGGAATCAGACTTATATGATATTCCTTATCACAAAACCACAGCATTCTTTACCCCAGACCAGAGGAATGACGATCATCTCCGTTTGCTGGCGCGCATGCCCAACCTTGAAGAGTTGAGCCTCAACGGCACATCCAGATCCTCCCAGGCGATGACACCTGCGACTGTTATCTCCTTGCAAATGCTGTCGTCTTCGAACGTTGTGAGGCGTCCGAGCCTGAAAGTCAAGGCAGTGCTGCCCAGTTGCTCGCGTATCTACTGTTGCCGTCCTTGTAGGCGTTGTCAATCATTCTGGATCCTAAAATGTCTCCAGTCTTCCCCGATAATTTTCTTCACGCCGAAACAATAATGTTCTTGAACCTCGGGTTCGCGTTCCGTGCTCCGGAGGATACCGAATCACTTGAAACCTTTCTTCGAAGGTTACCCAAAGTCACCGCACTCAAAATCATGTCACGCAATATCCCTGCTTCGTTCTTTCGACAGGCTCCTTGTATCAGCCGATAAGGAGCCTGTCGCAGTCCCTCTCATACCTCGACTTGGGCAGTTGTAGCCTTTCAGACAATGAGTTGAAACTGAAGATAGATACAGTTATTTTATCGAGGCAGAATCACTGTGCACGTTGCAAATTGTTGGAAGAAGTCATTTGGAGGGGTCCCCCGATCGCTTATAAAAGACCTTGGTATCATTGGCCAATAAGTCTCAAGCCAGGACTATGAATGCCTGAAGACTACGCATCATTCTGTAATGATAGAATGACTTAGTTTGGGCTCCGAATCACCAACAAAGAGATCCCCTTGAGCGCTGATACACGATCAGCCATGAGTAATACCGGACATACCATGTGAGAAGTGCATAGTGGGCATCCATATCGTCTGAGGCTGAGCGAGAAATCTACTCATAATGTACCAGCTGTTTATATCTCTATGTCTGACATTGTCCTCCACCCATGGTAATTAAACATCAAACTGTGATGCACCAGACCGCTGACTGCATAGTACGCATTCAAGTTGACTTAGCGTAATAGTCGAGTGTACCATTTTGTCTGGACCTGGGTGGTAGAGGACCTTGATTACATTCTTCATGGCCTTGGAAAACATCAGCATCGGGAGATCGACGATTCGGGGTTTCCACGATCTCCGTCTGTTAAAGTAACGTAAACACGTTCTCAATTCCGCTTGTGTTAAGGTGAAAGAAATTAGCAAGCCAACACCAGCCGCGTTTCTAACTTAGGAGGGATCCGTGGATTCTACATGAATGCCTGGTTCTATAGGTTCAATGGTGTAGCGGAGTACACCGATGAACTGACCGGATGCAGATTAAAATTGAAAAGCATTGTTCCAGAAACAGAGAACGCTGCGAAGTCACTTAGGAGTGTAAGACGTTCTTTGACAATGAGAGGGACGTGCTCGTCGTTCTGGTGCTCGTCAAAAACAAATCGGAATGGTGCTAGAAAATACAAACATATAACGTTGAAGATGTGACGACTTAGAAGATTGTGGATAGGTGCACGAAGAAGGCATTGAAATGAAGTAACACCTTGACCGGTACTTAGTGGAAACATAAGTTGTCATTACTTGGATGCCGTCGATACAGCGTCACTTTTTGTTACCAAATGGCTGGCCACAACGGGAATTCTTGCACAAGTGATTCTGCAACCCCCGTACTCTGGCTTTGATGAACACCCTTGAACTGGACCTCGGCATCGCCTGAAAAATCATTACTATCAGTCCATAGTCCCACGAGAAGTAAGCGAATAAGTACACACCTATATCCAGAATATACGGAGGGCCACCACAGTGAGGTCGGAACAGTGCCTCATATTCAGCGTCCTTTTCCCCTTCTTGTCGGGGATCCATATGCTCGTTGTCGGCTAGATCATATTCTGGGAACTTTGGATAGATGGTCAAAGGCCGTAGATGCGGAATGACTCCTACGGGATCTTCAACAGGCCTTTCTTCCTTAGTCTTTCTGCTGGCCTTGGCAGTGCCCACCTTTTGCTGGATGTCAGAGGTTTGTAACTTGGTCATGGATCGGGTCCTTCTAGGGGAGGTGGTAGATGGTTCGGGCTGCAAATTAAAACTGCAGAGGCACGTTAGCAAAAACAGACGCGACAGAGATTTCGGATACGTACGGTGTCATGGGACAGAAATGGTGGTGTCCGGAGACGATGCGAGAGATAATAGACCAAGGGGTCCCAGGTATATAGAAGAAATGCCAGTGGCACTGATCCGCGCCTTCGCTACACCAGAGCGTGAGATGCGGAGGATCTTCCTCTCGAACATGGGAAGTAGGTATCTCGGCGTTATCGCGTTGAAGCGAAGCGATGGAGGCCTCATCTAATGATCGCATGCCATCGAAATGTCCGGTAACACTAGCCATTGAAAGGTATTGGGGCTGTCGGGAGATGGAGAGTAGGGACCTGGGTGCTTGCTGGGCTGACGGCGGCTCTCCCGAGAGGCTCATGCCCGTAAAGTGACCAGGAATACTCGTCATGGAATGGCTTTGAGGCTGCTGAGAGATGGAAAGCAGGGAACGAGGGGCTAAGAGTGCCACCTGCGGCTCTCCAAGGAGCTGGATATCGGTTAAACGTCCGGTGGTGCTCCACGTTGACATTATCGGATTGTCAAGAATGGAGGTGTTGAAAATGGAGGTGTTGAAGGTGGCGGTCCTTGGGAAAGAGAGAGAAGTTTACGGATGTCAATTTGAGTTTCCGCAAAGTATGGTGGCAGGCCGTGGACAATACCACAAGGGACAAAGACGTGCAAATTTCTGCCATTTTGGTGCACACACCGACAATGCAAGGTCAAAGACAATGCATCGCGCCACGAATTTGGCTTCCCATGGCGACTGCGGAGGCCGCAATGTCGAAGAACGTATAGTCTATGCCTCCTGAAGTCGCCTTCTATCATCGAAATGACTGTATATTGTCACCTTTTGGCCGGAATAGATCTGGTGTTCATCTTGCTGACAAGGAAACGAGGTAGAAAATGGATGAGGCGATATTGCAGATAGCACAAGTTAGAAAAGTGTGAAATTGAAATCCGAAACAGATGTGAGAGATAGAACATGTCAGGTTCTATGAATTACCTGCGGGATAATGGGCGTTCGATGACTCTTGATAACGCTGACAACCGTTCGGTTATAACTTTCTAAGGAAGGAAGCGTGAACGGTTTATCTTCTGGACTCCGCTGGACGATTGACGGAATTGTCCCACAAGAGTTAACGTATAACACGCGCTCCAAAAATGCCGGTCTCCTTTTTGATAATTATGCGCTCATTTATGCACTGCTCCTTTACTGATCGTGAGGCGCTAGCATAATGGCATAACGGCAAGCTCTTGGGGAGACATGGGAGCCCCGTCCACCGTGATTAGTGTGAATGATGCTGACGAGTGATGAGGGATAAAAACATAGATCGTCCAGTAGAATATGGGCGGATTTCCGCTGGAATGGGTCGTGGTCCGCCGAACACCTATATATAATGGCGGCAATGTCGTCGTCAGTACGTAGGCAATAGTTGGATGACAATGAACGAGCTGTATGCTGACCTTATAGGCTGGCCGTGTAGTCACCGTAACATAATACTTCGTTTTCGACGTTTTAGGGCTTTTTTCTATTTCTGTTTCGTCGAATCATATTCATCCTTCGTTCGCGTTCGCTTGACAATACTGGGTCTGAGGTTTCCTTCTGTTGTAAAGACAGTAAGTCTCTATGAAGCTGCTCTACCACGCCTTTGTCGGGCGTTTGGTAGTGACTAGTCCTATCCTGCCTGGTCGATACTGATTAGTCACCAGCAGCTCCATTCTGACAAATGTAAGATATCGTAAATTAATATCGTGAGAGCAGAGGGGAAAAATTGAACAGAGTTTTGCAGCCGTACTGATGATGGAAGTAAGGTAAATAAGTTGGGACCCATACCGATTACAAATGATTCATAATCACCGACTGTAAGGGTGGCGCTAAGGTCACCGCTCACACAAGGAACTTAGCACAATCGTAGACAGGTGTATAGACGTTGATTGTGAAAGCCCCGACCCGATACAAAAGAATTAGCTATGTTATATACTGGTTCGGCGGTAAATCAAATACTAAGCTCGTAGTCAAATAAGGGTAAGCAAAAGGTCTCAATGCATCGACTCATTACACCTTTGGACGTTCTTACTTCTCGACTACCATCATCTCAATTCTCAACAGTTTCTCTGCTTTCAATATGCAGCCAAGACGCTCTTTAAGGATCGCGGTCCCTCCAAACAGAGGGGCCTTGCTGAATCTTAGGTGCATGGTGGCCTCCTTTTTCCTGCATTCTGCTTTGCTAAGTGCTGGGATACGTAGTGTCGAAACGTAGTCGAGCAAAACGAAAGCGAACCATTCGAGCACAGCAGCAGCGACAAAGCAAACAACGCACCGAAGGCCAAACGAAAGAGAACTGGGAAGAAACGACGGGATCTCAGACTGTTACTGACAATGCCGTTGGATATTCTCTTCATAGTGAGCTTAATTACTTTGCCTCCGTGTTCATTAACCAACTTCAACAGATCGGTACCATGCTTCCTTCCAGAGACCTCATTACTCTATCACGAGTCGATGCAGATCGCTGTTGTACTCTGACCGCGAATGGTGTATCATTCGCCTGGAGGGCGGTGAGGGAAGCCGAAGAGGGGATCGAGGCTCTTTGTGGAATTCCTGAATACCGATGGGGCGACCTGTTATTTGACATCCTATCCTGGGACGTAGGTCTGCCCTGAAAAGAATGTCTCTGTTGACTGGAAGCTTCACCGACACGCTTGCGGGCGATGCTCGAAAGCAAAGTACGTACATGCATTCCCGCCGGTTGCTGTCCACGAGCTGACTGCTCCAGTTAGCTTAATATATGCGTCTAAGGGTAATAAGTCGTTCCCCCGATGTCAATGAAGATGTAGCTTGAGCCTGATTCCAATGGTAAAGCTACAGCTTGACTTTCCCATTATTACGCTAATCAACTCCTCTTCAGAGCAGGACCACAAAAAAAAAATGCTCCCGCCACAGCTGCCATTGGTCTCTGACATCATGAACCGAGCAGAGATGAAAGCCTAGAAGCCCAGCCGGACCGGAAACCAACTCTTTCTTCTTTCACCCCGCGAATTCTCATCTGTTTTCATCTGTGGCATGACAAGAAAGGTAGTTCAATGCTGTTTGATTGTTCCCCCCTTCTTTAAGGACATTTAGAGACATTCTGGAGCTGCCGACCAAGAACATAGTACCGAGGCAACTTGGCCGATGCTTTGAACACTTCTATTTATGGACTGGCAACTATGAAGGGAACCGAGCCCTGGTTCATAGCTCAACCAGCATGCCTTAAAGTAGCCAACAACGGCGTTTTCTTGCGAACACCGCTGTGCCATTATCATGAATACAGACGTCTCGTAGCACTAGTATAATTCCTATGCAGTAAAGGCTGTGCATTGTGGAGCCGAAATGAACTATCGCATGAAAGTCTTTTTTTGAATGATGCAATCCGTCAATATTCGTTCTGTACGACCCGCTTCTCGTGATCCCGCTACGACGGCTGCAGAGATGAATCTTTCGAATCTCAAATATACCTGTATGAACGACGGCATTGGTGTATATGATCTCTCTGCGAGCGTCCCGCCCTTTCCTAGCGCGAATGTGTGAGTGTGGATACCCTATCCTTTACCCACAGCTGACCACTATTTTAGATAGACAGAGACACCACTTACGTCTAGCGATGTAAAGAAACAGGCTCGGGCTTGGCTTTCTGGGGCTCAGACTCTCGAAATCTTAGGAGCAAGGCCTGATTATAAGTAGGCTTGTCAGGAGTAGGACCTGAAGCCTTCATTTTGACACGGAGCTTTAGCCCAAGCCCTGTACATTGCTACTTACGTCCGACTTTTCGCCTTCTTACGAGCTATCAGGATTTAGCTGGATCGTGGCATTTTTCCACTGTTTCTATCATGTTGACGATCCGCAGTCTCATGAGTATGTCCAAGATTTTGCCACTCAACTTGTGCTTATTTTTTTTGCACGGCATTCATTGGATAGATCGTGATTTATTCCAGACTCCTGGAACAGATATGCGTGTAGAACAACGAAGGTCATTGCATGTCGTTGATGGATAAGTATTATGCTACTTGTAGTGAAACATGAGCCCGCTGCTGCTTTCCGTACAACTCGGTGCTATGCGTATATCTCGCCAATGGCGCAGCATATTTCCACCGGATGACAAATCAAAGGGTCGATAGAAGTGGGCCCTTTGGTATAAGGCCAGGGCCTGCGGTGTGATGTATCTTCCTCTTGAACATCAGAACTGGGTATCACGGCGTCTTCGCGTGGGAGGAAAAGCATGGGGTCCTTACCTAACAATGACATGTTATCAAAATGCCCATAACGCTAGTCTCGCATAGACGAACAATACATACCAATGTGAGAGGGAGGGACAGTATATATGCCATAACGCTACCTTAGGCTATACATGGAAAGGAGGTTATGAGGTGGAAAGTAGGGATCGGGGTGCTTCGGCGGCTCTTCGGACATATGAATGTGAGTGAATTTACACGACGAGGGAAAGTCCTGCAACTTATTTCTTGCGTACACCGATAATGAGGGCTACATCACGCCCCGACCTGGCTTTGATGTGACAATTTACCGAGTATATATCACCCCACGATGAAACCCGGAATTAAATGAGCGAACATGTACAGGAAATGCAATCGCTTATTCCTACAATACTTCCAGTATCATTCGAAATGCTCGTCGTTATGCTGCTGCGCATTTATGATCAGTCTCTTTGGAAAGGCGTTGGTAATTATGGAATTATATTATTTACGAACATACTGAAACAATCAGAGGTCGGCTAGTGAGAGTGGCGAAGAATCTCTGCGCAGCCCCCAGGGGATGTTATGTAGATAACAAGGGACAAACCACTGGCCCTACATTGATATGACGCATGATGTCTGGCAGGATCGCCCGGAGAGCCACCTAGAGACCGACGTGATTGTGGTATCCAATAGATCACGACGCATGCCTCGTCGGAGGAGACATAATTTGGCTGGGAAGGGTCCAAACAGATGGGAATACCCGTAGGCGAAAACCTCACCCCCATTTCCAACTGAATTGATCTGAAAATACTAGGTGACGGTAGGACGATTAGAACTTTCAGCTAGACTCGGGCAGTTTTGCGGAATAGACGACGTCCAGTCTCGATTTCTCTGCAGGTGGTTGGCTGGTACCGGCTGAAATGCCAGGGACACAACCTGAATCAAGATCGAATTCTGACTCGGGACCAAGACTTTTAACCAAAGCGAAATGCGTTGACTTTATTATTAAAGGGACTCCCGCCTCCCTTTGCTGTGGTCAATATCCCAAGGTCAAATTTCCTCTGTTATCAGCCGAAGTTCGCTGGGTTTGACAACCCAAAATAGGCCATAGCTGCTTACATACCCAGGAATTAAAATTCTTCCTCACGCATCTTTGCTTGATTGCTTGAAACTTGTGATGGGAACCCATCATTTGCATAATGGCCGACCACTTCGCATATAGGATAGGATAGTAGTAGTCTCAATTAGGGAATCCGTCGTTTCACTAATGAGTTCCTGAAGGTCTACGAGGACGTCGTTAGCCTTACGCCGGATAAACTAAGGGCTTCGCCATCTTAACGAAATGATGGCAATATTATACACGGCAACATTGCATCTGTTCCGAGACGGAAAAGCGCCTGTAGGCAGGCTCCTGTTCAATGAAGTTCAACAACTACTAGTAGATGGGTAAACAGTAGTAATTCAGAAATGGTGATTCTTCGTTCACAGAGACCCTTTCGATGTGATATATGGGCCATTTTGTGGGGCAGATCTAAAGGAGCTTTCATGAAATAACGTACAAAACATCGGTGAGAATACAATGCCTAGAATACGGTGACTTTATCTTCAAACCAAGAAAAGCTTCAAGGCCCCAGGTTACCCACCATTCTTCGTAGGCCTCTCAGGCTTGCTCCTTGGGATTCCGTTGGCAGTTGTTGTGCAATCTATTCCTTTTCGGTTTTTCATGAAGAAATATTTTACTAGTCTGTCGAAGCAATGATATTCTAGACGCTGTAGCACGCACTATAGACCTATATGAGCATCACCCAGGTACCTAGCTGGATCCAATCAAAAATCACGGCTCTGTCACCGGTCTCGGCTTGAACGGCTTCACCCAATCAAAATTTTTGATGGCTTCGCAGTGCCGCGCCATGACTTCTTAAATGGCAAGTTGACAGTTCTGTGAAATATTCCAGACTGGGGGGGGGATAGCGGGAAAATAGCTTTTCGGCATTTTTCTTTTTACTCCCATGCTAATGCGCGTTGGACCGGCAACCTGGTGTGACCTGGCCGAAGTCACTCGGCAAGAGCGGCGCGGAAGTTCGGTCTGACTGGAGAGGGGGCGGCTTCGAGCCGACAGAGTTCCGAAACCGATAAGGAATCCCGGGGTCTTGCCGCCAGTGACAGACTTGTAGATAGATTCGACTCTCAGATATGCAAAATCCGGACGCATATTTTGCTGCCATTTGGAGACCCAAAGTATGCTAACCTTATGGGCTTCCTCGACGTTTCGTTCATAGTCATTTTTCCCCCAGCTCGCCTTCTATTTTAATACTTTCATCCTCTTCTTCCTAAATCTTCTCCAGGTCTATCGACAGCTTTATATCTTTTGGCGTTTATGCAAGGATCGTAAACGATGATAATTCGCAGCTAAATAACAGAAATTTCTGTGCCTTGACAGCTTTGAGACTGGCCACAGCTTCGAGACATCTCTACATATGTAAACTCACTGGAAATTCTCGATGTCCTTTCAAAGTTCACTATCATCGGCCTAACTCCGCTGCAGAACAAACAGTTGGCGAATCCCCTCAAGCGTGCGTGGAGGCTGACTTGTGTGCTTCCGGCGTCCTCTGCTCATCTGTCAAAGGGTCTGCATCGGCACTGATTCAAGCCGAGCATGCCAACTGCCAGCAGAAGACGTCATTTTTGCGGTCTTGAGGGATTAGTCACCTCTCTTAGTAGTGAATAGTACTTGCGTGTTCTTCAAGCAAGTAAGAATGCCAGGCAAGGTTGACTTCCTACATTTATAGTTTCTAGCAGGTTCCGAGCATGGAGGGGAGACCGTTCTACGCGGTGTTCGAACTTTGTACGCGAAAGAATCAATTGAAGACGAATCCGAAGAGCTGAACCATGACAAATGCTCCGGCTCCTTACAAAATGATGGTTGCGGAGGTAGCCAGGAAATATATTTCATTCAATTGCGCGCCCAGGTCTATCCAACCCTTATTTCACCCAGAAGCATTGCAATTGGCAAATCTCAAATTCTCAGGTCCACACTTCTTCGCGGCACCGACGCACCTCCGTCCACGGTATCAACAATCAAGCAAGGAAGCGGTACACTTACCCCTGAAGCCTGAGAGCTATTTCCTGCTATTTCAACATTAGAATGTGGCGCATGCAGCGGGCGGCCCCGAGATTGATGAGCGACGCGATAGGAGATTTTAGATTTCGGAGGATGCTTAGAATGCCGTGTCGACGTATACTGGGCTTGATGGAATGGATAACAACACTCCGGTTGAATGTCAGAATGATGGTGTCTAGAAGGTGCAGGTGAGTCAGTGCGGTCGGCGTTGATGAGTTGCGAAGGTAAAGTGACAGCCAAGATCCCGAATGATATTCCCCCTCGACCCACCTGTTTGTCGGTGGGAAAACTTCCGCCTTCGGTACCCTTTAAAGACGATTTTCCAACTTTCGAATTCAATTCCAGGTTTCGGTCGATTTGAGTTGATTTCAGGTCTTGAAACGCGCTCACGGTGGAGAAATTTTCTGCCTTCGAGGGTCAACATGATAAGCTACACGTTCTTCATCATCTCGATCTCCATCGGGATCAAAAAGATTCCGAGTCCCCATTCATTGGTGCCAGAAGACATTCAACAGTAGCAGGACCCCGGTTGATGCCTTATGGACGTTGAACATTGATCACGATTTCGAGAAATCTTTGGTGATTTGTCCGGACCAAAATGTGGAGATTTTGATTATTTTTGTCTCAAGGTTGTCACTAAAAATTCGGTATCGGGCCCACGACGTAACCCTCCCGCCGTGGCCCGCTCCTTGGCGGGAGGGGTCAAACGGCCTCAAGAGTCAATTTTCTGTCCGAATTTGGATCTAGGTTGACTCCCAGTTGGTTCCAATTTTCCGGACCTTCGAGTTAGACGGTCAATTTGGCCAAAAATTTTCCGAGCTGGTCTCGGGTTTCATAGGATATATGATCCAGGGTCCTACACTAACGTGGAATACACGAAGCCGGTTCTCAGGGGAATCAATCTCTTTTTAGGACAGATTTGCATGATGCACCGAATCATGCTTATTTCCAATCTAGACTGTCTTGATCTGAGAGTGGAGCCTAACCGACGGCAGACTCCAGGTTGGGTATTTACTTTCTCACGGACCTCCACAGCGGCTGTATCATTCTTTCTTAACGAAACCCCCTTTCTTTTATGGCCTATAAGGGGACGAAGGAATAGAGTGAAATCCAGGACTCGGACAAATTGCATGACCACTTGAGAGTGTATTCCGAAAAGAACGAAGCGTGATGTTCAATGTGATACTAACTTAAGAGTTGATAGTTATGAAAATCCGGCACTGGTCAACCGCCGGATGTACGGTGCTGCTTGTCAGTTCCTGACAATTAAGATTTACGACATCTAGATGGCAGCCGGTGGGAATTCATATCCACATCTTGTCCTTATATATCGCTCCCCCGCCACAATGTTTATGTTAACTTCCATGTCGTGTTGCTTCTGCTCATACGGAGCCTTCTAGCTCCTGTGAATAGATGCTGGACGTGACACCGGTGCATTATGCCTGTCATCAACTACAGTCACTGCTGGGACTGTATTGTCTGATCCATAATTGATTCCGCTACCTCATTACGAATGAGAAGCATATTATCTCCATTGGATCCTTCTTTTGCCCTGATTATTCACTTGAATAGCGCGTGCTGAAGAGAAACTAGTCGCCGCGGCAAAGGCGCATACGCTATTATTGGCTGTAGTCCTCCATTCATTTACCGATGAAAGGTCTCATCGAAGTGGCGACATTTCCCATCTAGCCAAATACGTCGCTGATATTAAGATACATAGCAAAATATATCGCGATGACTCTTATTGCAACTGATTGAGCCACCTTCCTGATTCGAGGCTTTGGACGACAAACTCGTAAAATACACAGCAAGCAAATCTAGATCTCGTAACAAAATAAAGTATTGAAACACACCGGATAATGTCTACTCTCTGGTCTATCTTTATATGCTAGTGTACAAATGGGCTACAAGTAAATAATGCGTGAAATAAATAAACTACGTTGATATGTTATAAATAGAGGGTTTAATATAGGTGTTTTACTGGTTTTTGAAGAAGGACAGTAGACCGTTGGGTTGATCTAAGCTCGATTCTGGATTCGACAAGTCGTCGAACTCAACCTCTAAGACTTGACCTGAACGGACAACCATCAATTCCCCCCACAGACGTACGGGGATATCATGGCTTTGCCGTAAGAAAAACCGTATGCGTTCTAGCCACTCCTTCAAAAGTGTGTATCTCTTTCCGGACCGAGCTGTATCAGCCACCCATCCAGGACCCCCCTCGTCGATAGCAACCAGTACCACCTGCGTTAACCAGTAAAAAGATAGCGGGTTTTGAATCAGCGGCGAGTCCTGATCCACCGTCGCTGGCACGGGGGTCTGGATCCACAGCTGGAACCAGTTCTGAAGAAGGTAATGAGAGCGATCACTCGGAGTGCGTCGTGAAAGGACGTCCCGTAAGATGACATGGATCAGGATGGATTGGGAAAACGAGTTCAGCGGCGATGGGAATGTACCGTCGACAGAGAGAGGGATATTTGGAGCCTGGGCAAGATGCGTCAGGGTCAGCTGGAAATCAGCCCCGCGCAGCATGGTTGAGTCTACCCCATATAGCGAGGCCGCCTGGAAAACCGAGAGCCATTCTGCGGGGGTCTGCGCGTTCCACAACTCTTCATCGCATGGAAGATCGATGTCGAATTCGATTGCACGGAACGAAGATTGTTTTGAAAAATATATCGAGTAACAACAGTCGTGAAGGTATGATAGATGCAGTGCCCTGTGGCGAATCACATCAGTCTCAGATTGCACCCGAGAAATGAAAATATAGATCACCTCTTGGCAGTCTCGTGTGATATCCAATCCTTCCAAGACTGTTCCAAGGAAACGGCGTCATCGATATCAGGTACGACCCAAGAGCGTTCCTGGCTCATCAATCCCGACTGGTGGATCATCTAGAGGCGGGCGTCCGGTTAGGGGAGGATGACGCCTTCGTCGGCAAAAAAAAAATAGCGCACCATCACCAACATTCCGTGGTAAACACTAGTTGCGACGCGCGTCTCCGCGCGCTGGTGAAACAATCCAAGCGTTTGCAATAGGACAACCGCCAGTATCACATAGACCCGATCTTTCGGGCTGCATGAAGCCTTGGGTTTGGGACCATCAATAAGCGAAACCTCAAACGCCCGAGCACACTCACAAATTCTTGCAAAAGCAAATTACGCGAATCAAGGGTTTCTTCGATAAACTCGGCAGCTTGGCGTGTTTTGACAAAAAGGGCCCCGCATGCTTGCATGGCTCGCACTAGCACATAGGGTTTTCTTTCTATGCTCCATGTTGCTTGGTGCACCAGGGGTATCTGTTTACAAAAGTCGGTGAAAAATAGGCGAACTGGACATATGATAAGAATCGTTTACGGCAGATCCTTGTAAAATTCCAAACTTACGGTATGTTTGATTGTCAACATCAAGGTCGGTGGGAACGGCAATCAGCGGGGGAGCGAGAAAGGGAGCTGAATCAGCGGTATCGCATCCGAAACTTGCTGGCCCTAGGTCTGACGAAAAGTCCAAATCGAAGTAATCGTTTTCGAGTGCAATCGCGCCGGAAGGGTCATGAGAGGGCGAGTATAACTTGTCAAGAAATGCCTCCCATCCGAATTCATTGTTGGGTTCTTCAGTATGAGATATGGATAGCCCTAGGATGTCGTCCAGTTCCCAATCTGGAGGCGTATCAAGCGAAGAAGGTGATCCCGCACTTGACGCTTCTCGCGAGACCGAAAAAATGGGCGAGCATGCCGGAGAGGACGTGGATGAGGATGAGGAGGGTGTGCCTGATCCATCAAAAGGATCCGTAATATCGTTTTCTCGTCCTCCGGTTGTATCGCTGATAAATATGCACCTTTTGCCACGAGCGGCGCATTTCGAGCAGGGATCTTGGATATGCCGGTCGCATTTGACTCTAGACTGAACGCAAGACTGAATAGACACGCAACTATGAGTACCGTTCTTGCTCAATATATTAATTATCGACGTACCTGACAGGACTTTCTTTTTGAGCGATTGGCAGCGAGCCTAATATTTTGATAGGTAATAATCAGCTTCGCGAATTCCCAACAGATCAGGAAGCACATACGGTCCCCCGCATGACTTCATATGTCTGTTCAATACATCCCGCCTAACAAACTGGGAATTGCACATCTACGGGGGAAGATTGTCAGACGAAAGGTTTTGAGCCGTGTATGTAAAGACCTGCCGTGCACTTATGAATGCGTTTGTGAGTATCTGACAATGATTTGGCGAGTATCAATGAAGGGAGTCCACCCCTGGTCGAAGCTGGCACTTACGAGACCGAATATGCCTATGAAGATGTGTGGGTCTGCTGTACTTGGCGGGACAGTACGGACAGGATTGGTTCTGAGGCAACATGCGTCCATTCGCTTTTGGATCCATCGACGGCGCGAGCGCGAAAAGTTGGAATGAGACATGGTCATAAGTCTGAGGCGACGCGTCCATGGTCAAAGCGGGAAAGACGGAACAGCAATTCAAGTCGTAAAACTAAGTTCCTGCCTTTATGCATGAGAATTTCAGACCCCGCATAAATCCAAGACTTACTTCTTTGTGCGCATCAAAAGAACCATTCGTCGATCAAATAGCAAATAGGGCAACACCCTTGTAACATGTTGCTGTTCGCGCGGCGACATCGGACAGGCGAAATTTATATCGGGGGCCTAATCATAGTAATAGGCCGGAATCTGGTGCAAATAGCGTTGCTTAATCTGTTCCCATCGAATTGCCAATTAGAGCAGCAAATGAGGGCGAGAAAATATAAGTGACCAATGCATTCCCTCTCACCTCCTTCTAGATTGTTTTTTCATAATCTTTGTAAGGGGTGAAAAAGATCCATATTTGGGGAAATTTACCGCCATGCGATCGTCAGTCATCGATGGATGATTGGATGATGGATAGATTCTGTCTTGCCTGTCCACATATCTCAGCAGGCGGCCTTTCCAATATGCTTGCTTCCCTTGCATACTGTATAATTCTCCTTATGACCAATCGCTCTGACTCAGCCGGGGCCCGTCGAAATCAGTGGCGCTCGCGCTAGCAGCTTTCGCTCCTCTCAAAAGTAGGAAGCAAAAAGAGCGGAGCCGACACAACGTCGGAATACGTCGGACCGATAACATTGCTGGTATGTCCAGGAGACCCGGGGGAAAACTTCGCCGTGTGTAGCCGTGAAAGGGACGAATGGTATATGTCTGAGCAATCAAACAGTCTGGCAGTCGGAGCAAACGTCGGTTGCCCAGGAACCTTGCAGAGTTGTGCTCGTGGCAACTAGTCTCCGCTTGGAATCCGTTAAGGACGAAACGTTTGTTCTGGTTTCTGGTGTGTCGACTGAATCCTGTTGCAAGATGCTCCAGCGCCCTACAGCCTCGGATGCGCCAGTAGAGTTGATGTGGCGATCTCTCTAGTGGACAGCCATCTGCAATCCAGCACACGTGTCGTTATGTATCCTTGGCTGTTCCTACCGTGGAGAGCGGATAGCCGCTGAGTTGAATCGTTATCACGATACCGTCAATGAAGGTGAGTTTGAGTGGACGAAACGCTAAGCTCTAACGTATGGCGACAAAGAGGTGATGTTGGCTCCTTGAAATCGCGTGGGGTCATTCACCCGACTTTCATTTCGACATTCGGCGGCCTCATGCGGCCTCATGCGTCCTCATACTTTCTTGTTTCAGTCGGTTTTGTATATCTGAAAAAAAAAACACAGCCTACCACACGTAATTTATTCAGGTGGGACCCCGACTCGTATTGAAATAAAGACTTCGGAGCTTTGATTGTGATGACCGACTCGGCAGGAGCGGACACTGGCAGGCATTCTATTCAGATCTTAAAGTTGCTTGACGTAGATTCTAGTGGCGTGCAAGTACTTTGACGTGGATAGTACCCGAATCCAAGCAGAGATAAATCCCCGAGCTTCCTCCCCGGAAATGAAAGTACCAGCTGTCGGGGTGTGTATTGACGGCATTGTCCGAGTCCTGAGTTTGAAATCTGTTAGTTCTGTACTTGGAATGCTGAATTGCTAGAACTTACTAAGAAAAGACTGATGGATTGTTACTACAGTAAGAACGATACGGCGGAGATGTCAACTTGTTCCAATGTTTGCAGCGGCGGCCAAAGAAGAGAGCGAATTCTGCCGTTTTGACTCCGTGGCTGTAAACTAGTATTTGCTTATATTGTTTTCTAAAGGCTATGACCTCATGGCAACGTGTTCGAATCCAACCAACTTTGGCGCCTCTCCTTTCTCTACTACTACGTTATACCTTTATTCCCTCAATGATGCGCTGGCTGGCGGTCTTGTCGCTGGCTCTATTTATCTCTAACGTCTATGCTGACGGTGGCCTGTACCCCCCGGGTCTCCTACCACTTATTAACCGAGCGAATTCATTATTATCCACTGGTCAGTTCAATGAAGCGGCAAAGATATATACAGAGGCAATAGGTACGTTGCTGGACGTATTTTGTATGATACACATCCTAATATTTGTGGTAGAACAGTCCCCTGCCGACTATCTGTTGTACTACAAGCGAGCCACAGCGTACTTCTCTCTTAGCCGACACGGACCGGCCTTGGATGACTTCAACAAAGTCCTTTCGCTAACGTCGGAGACGTTCGAAAATGCCCATTTCATGAAGGCGCGAATACATGTCAAAGATGGGCATTTCTCCCAGGCGAGAGAATCGCTGCAACGCTTCATTTCCAAGAACAAAGGGGACCCCGCAGCCGTAGATTTGATGACGGAACTGACGGAAGGGGAAACGATTGCAAAGAAGGTTGAGCAGGAACGAAAGGCCCACCTTTGGAATGCGTGTATAGAGAGCGCGAGCGCCGCACTGAAAACTGCGAGTCATTCGGTCGAACTTCGCCAAATGAGGGCGGAATGTTCTCTAGCTGCGGGAGATTTTGAGGGAGCCGTAGGTGACCTTACGTGGGTATCCTTCCGTTCCCTTCCCATGTCTGGATGCTGACGCGTCAACCCAGCCGTTTGACCTATCTCCTTCCCCCTTCAACATCTCTCCAGACGCGAATCTTCCGTCTTGACTATTTCTTCTTACCTTCCTCACCTGCGGGCGTAAATGCGCTTAAGCAATGTCTACATTACGATCCTGATAACAAGACCTGTCTTTCTCTACACCGGATCGCGAAAGGCCTTGATAAAGGAATAGCCAAACTAGACGAGCTCTTATCTAACGAGGATTGGCGGGGTATCATCACGCTTCTAACAGGCAGTGGGAAAGCCAATGACCTTATAAAGCGATTTGATGACGCAATGAAGGATAACACCGGTCGTGAGCAGCTACTATCGCCACCATCTTCGCGTAAGGATATGCCAATACCGCTTCCCAATCCTGCCAAGTTCTCGCCCCGGAGGCAGACTTTGGTTCGGTCGCTTTGTAAAGCCTACGTCAAATCGAACTCACGAAAGGCGGAGGAATGGTGCGATCTGCTGCTTACGATGGACGGGTGCAATGACGATATCGACGGACTGGTTGGTCGCGGAGAGGCGCTCCTCAGAAATGAAGAATGGGATGAGGCGGTTAGAGTATTTGAGCGTGCGTTTGAAGCAAGTGGAAGAAGTGATCGGGACGTGGGTACCCTTTTCGTTTTCGGGAAATGTTTAAAATCTGACGTCCTTCTAGATACATTCTCGTGTGCAGAAGGCCCAGCGGTTGCTGAAACAAAGCAAACAGAAGGACTACTACAAGGTCTTAGATGTAGATCGCAGCGCCGACCAGAAGACTATTAAGAAGGCATTGTAAGTATTCGAATTCTCAGAAACGACGGGGTAATCATAACTTCTTCACAGCCGGAAAGCAGCCTTGAAGGCGCACCCAGATAAGGGTGGTTCCGAAGCAAAAATGGCCGCCGTCAACGAAGCCTACGAAGTGCTGTCAGATCCCGAGCTGCGGACGCGTTTCGACAACGGCGAGGATCCCAATGATCCTATGGCACAGCAGGGAGGACACCCCTTCGCCAATGGACAACATCCTTTCACGCAATTTTTCCAACAGAGCAGCGGAGGATTCTCAGGCAGCGGCCGTCAGGGTGGATTCCAGTTCCATTTCGGACATTGATAGAGATGGCAATTTTCGTCGTTTGGATGGAACATTGTAGTATATAGCAGTAATGTAAGTTGCGTCAGAGAAAGTATGCCTGCATTGCGGAAGGAGCACTGACTCGCCAGCGGCCTGACCAAGGTGGCATTGTTGATTAGTCAGCGATCGAGCCTTGATCGTGTAATGGAACTGATCGACGCATCTTGACTTTGTACCACCATCATCCAGTACAGTCTGTCGAGTGGGGCCTACCGATGGCGTCAGCATCGGCACAGTCACTTGAGGAGGCCGCCAATATTGCCACAGAGTTCATATACAGTTTGTTGCATTTCTTTCCTTACGTTCGTATGCTAAATCCGACTCCAGGTCTCGATAATCTACCAAACGAAATACGATTCATATGCGACGAAATAAAGATCAAGGATCAGAAAGCCCAAGGTAAGAACACGATTCTTTACAATGCATTCCTTTATCTGACAGCGTCATTTTTTTTTTAGAGATCCAAACGACAATTGAAACCGAATGCGCTAGGCACATCCAACTTTGCCAGAGTGGCGCTCCGTTCCCGCCAAACTACAAACCACCCTTGCAGTCAAAGATCTCCGAGGCATACAACAGGGTCCACAGGCTTCACGTGGAGAAAATTGAGCTTGCGACCAAAATGGTTGACCTCATCGAGCGCACGCGGACTCGATTGGGTGTTGATATCAATCGGGTGAAGAAGTTGCAGGGGGAGCCGCTCACGCCGGAGGCTGCTCCTCCTCAGACACGGAGCAGTGCTGCTGCTGCTGCTGCTGCTGATGTTGGAAGCGCGTATGCGTTTTCTGGTAGGGATCCTGCTGCTCAGATCAGCGAGAGCTTGAGGAGCGTCATGATCCCGAGTAGTACTACCCCCGTGCAGGAGCTGAGACAGTCTCCGGCGGTCGTGTCGTTGACGACGGCGACGGCACCGTCTGGTGCTGCGACAAAAAGTTAGTCATAACTCGGTTTTCCTTTTTTTTTCTTTTTGTGGCATTGTTATCCTTCCTTTTTTTTTTTTTTTGTTTGTCTATCTCGTTACTCATTGTTCTCTATAACAAAAACTAGAACGCCGATTGACTGCAGCGCCTTCTATCAAATTGCCAGCGAGGTCTCAGTCACCTGCGCCACCACCACCCAAGGCAGCTCAGGCACCCACGCACAGGCAGTCGAGGCTTTCGCGGCAGGTCCATCCGCCTGTGCCCGGCCCTGAGGAGGATGCCGAGGGTGAGGAAGAGGATGCGGAAGGTGAGGAAGACGACGAAGGGGAGGATGATAAGTTGTATTGTTTCTGTCAAAAGAAGAGCTTTGGCGATGTAAGCGTCTTTTTTCTTTCTACGGGTATTTCTCGAACGGTAGGGCTGACGATCCTTCGCTTTTTAGATGATTGCATGCGATAGTGGCTTTTGTCCGTACGAATGGGTAAGTCTCCCCCGGTTAATGTATTCCATTGTTCGACGTTTTTGATATTTATTTATTTTCTTTTTTTTTTTAGTTCCATATTTCGTGTGTGGGATTGAAAGCGGCGCCAGTGGATAAATGGTATTGCGATGCTTGTAAACCAAAGGTCATGGCTCGCAAGGCTAGGAAAAAGTAGATACCGAGAGTGATGGCGCTTGGACTATTTTGTTCTTTCTCGTATTTTTCTCCCCTACTTGTTATCGACGCACTTTATCTATGTAACGGTCTCGTGATATAGGAATGATTCTATGGAAACTTGGGAAGACCTTGAAAATTGCTACCGGCGCCCAGGTCCAGGCGAGGTATGTAGATTTATTAATCATGTGCTTACTTTGTCGATTTGTAACGGACAGATTATAAATTATAGACGACTGGGGTATATATAAATCCAGAGGAAGTCGTCTTCACTATACAAATCCTTCGCAATCCTCGGTGCAGCTGGGGGGGCATCGGAAGATGCACCTTCGACGCCCTGCCCTGCACGAAAGGCACGCCTCGATCCTAGCGGTCATTCGTAGTTTCCTCCTCATCGACGGACCGCGCTGCCCACCGCGCCGAATGTGAAGATCACCAAAGGTGGAGGACTACAGGAACGTCGAGGAGGTCGCTGCGGTGGATAGCGAGATCGAGACGCGGCGGGAGGTTTCGATGGCACCAACCAAACATCTCTGGTACTACTATCTCGACACGCATTCAGACCCCGGCTCCGAGGTGTTGGGGGGGGGGGGAATCTTGTTTATTAGCAGTGACACAGACCCAGAAATTCGCTGCTGCTACGTCCGTCCCGCTCGCTAACTTGGATGACGTACACTGTCGCAAATGCCGCCGGACTCCCTTAGAGCGTGCTCAGTGTCCACATCAGGTGTCAAAGGCAAGGATTTTTCTATTCAGTAAACGTGATAACGACACAAGCTTCTGCCAATAAGTCGTTCAATAGGCGTGCTTACTGGTAGGTTCTTCCGTGTACTTTTGCTTTTGCCAGACAGGGGTCACCCTTTTTGTACAACCGCTATCCCGGCGGTCGGCTCCCCTCCTCGACACACTGCCATCTGTAGTTCTGTGTTTGTAATCAGCATGGTCAACACCTTAGCAGGAGGTGAATATCTTCCATATGCTAGATGCAGAGCGATGAACCTTCAAAAAGCGAGGACTGCGGGGCTACGCGAAGTACGAGCCAAATGGGAGATCGCCTCCAGGGAAGGTTCGCCATTCAACCCACAGAACATCGTCGTTGATTCGCTTTGAAAAACGCTTGACATCAGCCGCCCGCCTGCCTGCCCTCCTTGACCGTACAAAATACCCGTGAGAAGCTGTGTGATAAAGCGAGGGAGGATGCGCAGGCTCCCGCTCCTCAATTACATTGTGACCCGCTTTTCGGCTTGTTGGTGATGCCTCCTCCAGAAAATCGTTATGCATCTCCACCAAAAACGAGGCCAGTTCTTTACGAAAGGCGGGTAGTCTGAATGTCGTGCTAGGAAACGCTAAGGAAAAGAAGAGATTACGAGTTTTCCGATAGTGCCCCGTGACCCTTTTCGTTCGGAAACATGACCTCGAAGGGCCTCATAGATGACTTCTTCTTCTTCTTCTTCTTCTTCTTCAGGCTGCCTTCGAAAGACGACGGCCATGCGTTTCTGGGTATTGATGATGTGGCTAGACAAGTATATCTAGACCGCATCACGTTGGTATTGTTTCTTCTTCTTACAGGAAATAAGAAAAATTATCGCTCTTACCTCCGATATTCCATCGATGACAGCTGTCGTTCTGCTTCCGCAGACCCAAGGGTGACGGTCAGAGTCGGAGTCGCTTTGAAATTCTGAAGCATATCCCACTTCTGTAGCTTGTGGACATCATTCTGAATCAGATACGCTCGATAGCGACGAGCGAGCGCACTCCAAAACAGCATCGCATAACGCCGCGTCGTTGGATATACACCCCGGTCGTCCTGCTGAGGAAGAACCGGTGGCATGAAAACATGATTAACGATGTAGGTGAGCACGGAGTCGTCCATGGTGGGGAGAAACGAGGGGGGTGGGAGGGCACTCGAGGCATTCCCACGATGTATGTATATATATTCTCCTTTTGCCCCCTTCACAGAAGGTAATCCACGAGGCAGTGCCTTGTCGAGGACGAGGGCGAGGGCGAGGGCGCGTTCGCGTTCCTCATTTATTATTTCGCTCAAATCTTACTGGTAGACTAAAGACATGATTCATATTAAATAATACACTAATGCCATTTCTACAACTACAAGTACATTTCACCTGTTGGTTAGGACCTTAGAGATTTAACGTTTAATGGATACCGCCGACAGAGCATTCGAAAGAGATCGGGGCTGCCCTCTGCGATGAGGCTCTTCATGAGCACCCTGCACCGTTTCGAGGGGGAAAAAAAAGAAAAAAGAAAAGAGTTTGACTTGGGAATTCAACAGACTGGGAAATTCTTCAGCTGGATCCCTATCGTTTGCGCTATCATCATCATCGACGGACAAGATCAATCTCGTAGTCGGCACGGGCACCACCACACCGGGGCTCGTTCACGGCCGATGAGGACGCGGTGTGTGTGTGTGGGGGGGGGGGGGGTACGTACTACTCCCAAATTCAAGCGTGTCGCTCACTCACTCGCACTAAGTTTCGTCGCACACGTGCTTACCACTCCCCCGCCTTCCGAGCTTCTCGACCAGATCTTCCACGACGTCCTTGTAATCTTCCACTCTGTAGATGGATGAATGGATAAGTTCATTTATTCAATGAGTACCAGTACCACCCACCCGCGTCCGCTATTTTATACCTTGCTATTACACCCTGCACTCAGATCACAAAAATACTCTAATTGTTGGTTCCCGGACCGAACCGAATCAAGGAGAGCATGTATACATGGCGGCTCGAGACGCGTACTGACTTAATTCACAGCGGCGGAAGAGAAGAAAGAAGCGACCCCCCCCCCCCGACGACGCAGCCAACTGACCAGAAAGTAGATGAGGTCGATTCTTCTGTCCGTGAGAAAAAGAAAAAAAAAAAAAAAAGCCGCCACAACTTCACAACTTCGGTGCCGTCGAGCGGCGGCGGTGGAGGCGGCGGTGGGGGTATAGGGAGCATGATGCCCAGGAGGCGAGAACCGATTCGCAACTCGCAACTTCTCCACGCCACAGCCAAGAAGCGAACACAGCACCCGCGCACCCTGCTAGCTACCGCTACCCCGTCATCCAACACCGAGATAGATAAGGCCGCCCAGATCCTCCGTTGTGGCGAGAAACCCTGATGATGATGACACCGAGAACGGAAACGGCGGGAAAAAAAAAAAAAAGGAGATCTATCGTCCGTCCCCGTCGGTAGCTGCCCCGGCGTCTTGAACGGTGATAAAAAGGAAAAAAGAAAAGAAAAGAAAAGAAAAAGAAATCAAGTCCCCCACACCAGCCACCAAAAAAAAAAACACATAGAATATTATTGGTACATTTTTTTTTTTTACACTTTTTTGCGCAGATTCACGTCATGCTGGGCCTCTCTCCCGGCCTCGAGCTGTTCAGTAGCGTTTCGAGCTGTCAGAGACCAAGGTCAGCGATAGTGAATGTGTGTGTGAGAGAGAGAGAGAGAGAGAGAAGACCGCACCTGCTCCAGAACCTCCGAGCTCCCTCCAACGTTCGCATCGTTAACGTTAACGTTCACGCTCACGTTCACATCAGCTGCTCTCTATTCAAGTCAAGTCAAGTCAACCCCCCCCACCCCGGCAAACAACCAAAGGGGAGCGAGCACCACTCACCTGTTGTTCCTGCTTGATATTCTCCACGCCCACCGCCTTCCTCACGACGCTCCCCGCAGGGAACGGCAGCTCCTCCCGTGGGACGATATCGATGAGGAAATCAAACTGGTCCGATTTGCTCAGGGCCTTGGCGATATCGGATCGCGAGAGCGTGCGGCGCTTGTTGGAGTCGGCGATGATGAACGCGCGGGCGGTGATCTCTGCGATGAATACTGCGGGGGAGGAAAGAGAGAGAGAAAGGTCAAGGTCGTCCTTAATTGGGTGGAAGGGGGAGGGGGAGGTGACGCACTTTCGCAGGCCTTGCAGAACAAGATGGGCGCTACGTTGGGAAGAGGGGAGAGAGGGGGTGAGAGGGAGAGGTGTGAGGGTGATAAACCACAGTTTCCAAAGGAGGCCCGTACCATCCGCAGCAATCATCTTAACACTAGAACCATCAACATCGGAAAAAAAAACAAAAAAACAAACGGACAAGGGGCGGGGGCAGGGGCGGGGGGGGGGGGGGGGGGGGGGGATGTCTGTGGAAACGCTTACTTTGACATCCGGATCGCTCTTCATGACTTTTTTGATTCGGGCGAGTGGGAGGGCCGGGTGTCGGAAGTCGGGCGTTTCTTGTTCAGCGGAGTCGACTTGGCGCTGCCAGAAGGAGCGCAGGAATTCGTTGAGGGGGTCGCCGGCTTGGACGAAAGGCTGCTGTGGAGAGGAGGAGGTCATCGTGGTTGGTGGTCAAACCCTAGGAGGAGAGGGGGGTACCCCTAACCCTAGGGATCCGGGTATTTCCGAGGAGCGGCGACTGGATGATTCAGAAGCCCCCCCCCCTTCCCATGTCTGAGGAATAAGGTGCTGGTGCATGTGCTATGTGCATCGGGAACACGAAGCAAGCAAAGATACCATTTTACACGGTTGTTATATAGATAATAGATACACTACTCTGCAAAGCAATTCGGAATAAAGCAAAAAAAAAAAATATACAAATAAATATTATCCATCAGAGGAATCGGAATCACAAGTTGTGCTGTGCGATATGGCGCATGATAGTTAGCGAAGTCATCAGCTCTGATGGAGGGGACGGGAGGGGGGAATGGAACGTTATCAGCAACAGCGCAAGCACCCCAAAAAAAGAAAAAAAACCGCGTCTCACCGACTGCCATATGGATGAACGCCTCGTATATCGTCAGGGTGTGCCCGGATACGCCGTACATGCGCACGTCGGGTCTCTTCAGGTCGTAATGGGCGACTAGGTAATTCTCGGCGCCGGTCGTGCACTGGAATCAGGAATCAAGAATCAGGGCAGACAGCCTCAGATAAGGGGGACGGGACGGGACTCACCGTCCACTCCTGTCCGTCGACCGACCGATGGCTCCATCTGTACTCTCGCCCATCCGAGCCCGCAAACTTTCGTGACAGGGATCTACCCAATGCCATTCAGAATCCTGGGAGAAG